CGAAAGTCATCAAGGCGGAGGAATGGGTAGCGGCAGTGAACTTTGTCGTGATAGACGTTGAAGAGGGCTTCCTCCGTCGCCCTGTCTACGCCCCCCTCTGCTCCGTGCTGGCTGACGGGCCGGCGTGTCGTAGCTGCTGCAGAGCCATCTTGGAAGGTGAGTGGTGAGAGGTTGCTGTCCTCATCTGAACGGGCAAAGGTCGCGAGCAGGCCGATTGCCGGCGAGCTTCTGGTGAGAGACGTCTCCCCGCTGCGAGAAGCAAACGAGACCCGACGTCGATGATGATGATTATCCTCGTGCGACAACGACGTCTGCTCAGCTCGAGCGCTGTCTACTGCAAGCCCGTTGCGATCAACAACGTCCTGGAGCCGTGCGTTGCTCTCCTCGAGACGCGATATGCGCTCCTCCAACGAGGCGATGTCACCCAGCCAGGCCAGGGGCGTGTGTGTCGAGGATAGATGGTCCGAACTGCTGGGGCGTCACACACGACTAACAATCAGATCGACGGTTGATCTCCACGGTTTTCATTGGTTCCCTCCTTCTTTACTCAAGGCAAAATGAAACTTTTGCGTCGTCTGGGGTAAGGTAGATGGGGTAAGAGAGAAACGGAACATGAACATTGAACGTACGGACGGGGATGGTAATGGAAGGACGGCACCGCCTCGCTGCACTGCTCGCCTGACCTGGCGCAGTTGGCACACGGCCTCTGATCGTCACATTTTTGCTACGTGATCATCGTCGAGTTAGTTCGTCGGTACCATGGTACTGCGGTGTTTCAGAAGAAGACGAGGGCGGTTCGGAGCCGACGATCACTCCCCAAGAAACCGGTTGATTGACTGCACTCACCTTTCGACGACGGCAGCGGGAGCAAGCCTGCGTCTTTGCCCGCTTGGCCGGCGGCTGATCGGGGTGTTCGCTGGCGGCGGTGGTGGTTGGGTCGTACGGCAACCCGCTGCCCGGTGTCGCCATCGCACCTCATTCACTCACTGGCTGTGAACGCTCTCTGGTTTGTCCGGCGTTTGGCAGCCCACTTGGTTCCGTTTTGCGTCCAGGGGGTGCGGTGGTTGTGTGTGGCGATTCGTACCATACACCGCAAGGGACCAGCTACATCGTCATTCTCTTCTCATTCAGTGGTAGCGAGTCGCGTATCGGTGAACCGTGAGCTGTGTTCTTCTGGATGAGGGGAAAGGAGAAAGGGGACTGATTGCGATGCGACTGCCGAGATGTGTCGATGCGACTGATAAGATACTCGGCGTTCCGCAGCGTCAGGTACGGGTGATAACAGCCGGACCCCTGCATGATGTGGATCCCCCGCTCCGTTGAAGAAGCGCCGATGATTTGCTTGAAGATTGCCGTTGGTGATACTGCGTAGTGCCTCTTGGTTCACCATGTGGACATAAGGATGGTCAGGTGACGATTCCTAAGGGGCACATGGACGGGAAGCTGAGTAGTACCCGTTTGGGTTGAGTCGACTTTGCATGGCAGAAATGACCTGCTAAGGGTGGACTTGGGGTTCAACAATAGCCACGACGGCGGAGACTGTGATGTCACTGGATCGAGATGCCTTGAACAATACTCTTCCCAGCCTTCGAGAAGCTGTAACTGGAATCGAACAAATCTTCGAGTGCGATCGTCATCAAGTGGCGACTATGGTCTTGGTATCAGTCATTCGATCTTACAATTTCAAGTTTCTTCCGTCTCAAGACGCCGAGGTAGATGTGAACCGCCCACGGCGGTGTTGGAAAATACGCGAAGTTGAACAATCGACGGTTGCTCAGACGCATCCTGCCTGATTTGTGTGATTGATCGTTGCACCAACGACGGGAGATTCGCCAAATTACCTGACCTGGTAAGTGTCGAACCTGCCAATCTGATCTACCTCGACACCCGGGACTGGTCAAACAGAGGTCAGTGTACTCGACCACCAAAAGGTCAGGTCCGTGGGCCAGATAAGGCGGTAAATGGTCTCGTATCTTGAGAGCGAACACGACGTGCATTTGGAAAACGTCGTACATCGTGTTCGACCCAGGAAGTCCACCAACTCAGGCGCCGCATACGTTTGCGGTTGTTAAAAGCGATGCGGCTCAGCATAACGGCATGGTAAGAGTACGCGATGAGCCTCACTCACAGCCACGGAGACGTCGACGACAGATGGCCCGGTTAGGACTTCCTACCGGAGTATCCGAGGCTGCGACACCCCGTGGTGGTAAATGCTACCGTCCTGCCCTGCGATCCCACCGAAAAGCCTCACCAGACGATACATTGGAGCCTTTCGGATTAGGTAGAGAGCAGCAGTTCAAGATTACAGCCGCCTTACGGATAAGGCGAACAAGTGACGGAAATGGGCAGCTGATCACCAGTTCCCACCAGAGATCCTCCATCCTCAAACACCATCCCGGCCAGGCGGTGTGGTGTGCGCCGTTGCTGGGTGTGCGCCGTTGCTGGGCTAAAAATACGCACCATGATGTGCGGATATGGGACACGCGAGCTTGCCGTCTTTCCCGTCGTGGACCAGAGTTGAGGGTGCCTGCCCTCTTCGATAACTGAAAGATCGTGGCCCTTATTAGCAGCATTGAGAATAAAGCCGTGTTTATGATATCACGACAACCGCCCAATCACCACCGCAGCCGCGCGATCATCCATCGGTGTTTCTATCTCCTTTGGTCCATCTGTGACAGTGGCATCTTGTTTTTCAGCCCGGCGGCGGACTTCGGACGAGCGTCGACGTGACGTGGCCCCCACCACAACAGGCGATTGTAGGGTAGATGCATAGATGGACACGGGGGGAAACAGCCAGACCGCTCGCTGGGCAGAACGATCGTGGTGGAGGAGAAGGAAGAGCCATGCAAGTTCGGTCTCCCGGGTCGCCCACTCCCCGGACCAAGGCAGGCCATGGTTGCCTGTATGACCTCGGTGGGCCGTCCGTTGCCGCTCTTAATCCCCGCGGAGGAGGTTTGCGAGTGTTTTGATAGCATCGACTGCCGAGGGCTCGCCTGCTCAACGGTCATGCCTTAAGGCTGCAGAACCGGTGGGTAATCTTGGGGGAAGGAGAGTACCGAGGAAACCGAGGGAGAGAGTGCAAGGAGGCGCGTTGCACGGTTCGCTGTCGTAGGGCAGAGCAGATGGAAGGGAAATGCAGGCCAGGCCTGAACATGGCATGGAAAGCGGCTCTATGGATTCGCTGGCATTATTGGCAATTGTCTCCAGTCGCATGTTTTTCGTTACCCTTTCTGCCCCCTTCGCCGGGTGCCGAGATGGAGATCTCACCAACATGAGGCTCCCCTGATTGTCTTGCTTGGCGGCAGGTCGGTCTCAGAAAGGACAGCGGGCAGTCAGCCAGGGTGCCAGGGATGCAGGAAGAGGGTTCGATCGGCGGGGGGTCGGAGGAATTACGACGCGGGGATCATGCAGTTTCCGAGAAGAGGTTGGGGCGGTTTGACAGGTGACGCCGCGACGGGGATGTTCCGATGTCAGGTCAGGCTGGGCTGAATAGGTAGGAGGCTCAAAAGAGAAGACGTAAGGTGGCAGCAATAATGGGCCATCGGCGATAGTCTTGTTAGGCGTTTTCGACTAGTAGGGCTTTAAGTGCAATTTGTCTCACGTCAATTAGCCCACCATCTTCTGTATAGTTACTAACATTTTTTTGTGTGGATGGTACTATGTACTATGTAATGTGTAATATGTTTGTGAGTTTTACGTCAAGGCCCGTCTCTTCCTCTGACTCTGACCGAGTGACAGAATGATCGCACGGTCTTTGGAGCCGTGCCTTGTCTCTTCCCGCCTGGGCACGATGGATAGACACTTGGGCTACAGCCCAGCCAGGAGGATTTTGGGCTTGATACCCGATCGTACCTTATTTGACTGGTTCGGGTTTGATAGACTGCTCGCCCAGAGAGTTGCCGAGGTGTCCCCCCGTGCCCCCAGACGAAGAAGACCCTCTTCAGAGTTGGGAAGCAAGCAGTTGCCAGAGAGGGATGATACCTGGCCACCAGAACCCCGGAAGGGCAGTCAAAAGGTGGGACGAAAGGAGGAATCTTGGGTTTCATTGGCCTGAAGAACATCGACTCAAACATTCCATGTCTGAAACCGTGCTGGCAGCACCCTTGCGGGGAAACACTACCGAGCAACCACCGCGCTTGAGCCTCCAACTGGCGTGCAGGGATCAATGCCATTGTGAGACGGAGCCGACCCCTGTAGATCCCTGCTTTTTCCCTTGGGTGCCCCTCTGTGTCCCTCCCTCCTTGTCCCGACACTGCGTCACGTCAGCCAGAGGTTGTAAGGTTTCTCGGATGATGGACGCACGCAGTTACCGCTGTAGGGAACTGTGCCAGAATTGTGTGTGCGTTTTTGTGAAGGGACTTGTTAACAAGGGGGAGCGGGTAAAAAGATACACACATGAAAAAAAGAGGGGACACACGCAAAACCCAAGACATGGAGGGAGGGGACCGTGGGATTGTTTAAAGGGCGGATGGCGCGCGGCGGCCGGGTCGGATGTAAGGCCCTTCCTCTCGACTCTTTATTTCTGGGACGGGAAGCGCAACTTTTTATTTTGGGACTGACATTGTATGAGATTTATTGATTGTTTAATTTGTGTTGTTTGAATACGTTTTTACGTTGACAGCTCTGTGGCTTGGCGACGATTGTTGAGCCGCTGGATCGACTTACATCGCACACGACCATTCCATATTACCTTCTCACGCCCTACTACACATACACATTCAGCAACACTATTACCACCGGCCGGTCTGCCCTCCTCCGCCCGCGCGACACAGACCTGTCGACCAACTCTGATCCATCTGAACTGGCCACGAAGCCATACAGAGAGAGGGAAGCGTCTTTCTAATCGGCTCTCGACATTTGCTCGAAGGGACTGGGTTCGGCAACAACGACTACTACTACATGAGATAATCCTACGACGAAACGGCAGACAACATACCCAAGGGGCAACCTACTACAGTACCACATATACCAGTTCTACGACAGAGTAATCACTACACATCATGGCCGGCCTTCTTCCCAAACTCGGAGGCGCCCTCGGCGTCTCGACAGACGTGCCCGTACTGGGGCCTATCTTAGGAGACGGAGGATCAGGACAGACGGGCGCTCCCAATTCATCAGTGAGCCAGGCGACGAAGGCGCAGACATCGACACCAGAATCATCGGCGCCGCCAGCCACAAGACCACCACCACCTCCACCACCACCTGCTTCAGCACCGCCAGCAACGACATCATCAGCACCACCAAAGAGCACGCCGTCGCCTCCATCAAGGACACCGACGCCCTCATCATCCACATCACAAACGCCCACAGTGCGCCCTCCCACCACCTTCATCATCTCAACAACAACCATCCCGTCCTCGTCCACAACGCCGTCGCTCTCAGTTGTACCACCGCTCCCATCACCAACATCCATTCCCCCCTCACTCGCGCCTTCAGAGCCGCCCGTGGTACCCATCTCCACCCCCGAGGTCCTCACGCCCTCGCCGGTGCCCTCCTTCATCCCCCCTCCACCAGCAGAGACCACACCTCTGTTAACTCCCACGCCGACACCGACGCCGGCGCCCAGCACGATCGCGGCGCCGAGCCAGGCGCAGCAGTCCGGCGGCAACGGCGGCGCGAAGCTGATGCCCGCGCTGCCCATCGCGCTCGGCTCCGTGGGCGGCGTGCTCATCTTCGGGCTCATCATCGGCATGCTGTACCGCAAGAGCAAGTGGCCGTTCCACAAGCGGAGAAACTTTGCCGAGATTGACGACCTGGAGATTGAGCGGCAGCAGGAGATCGAGAGGCAGCAGAAGATGAAGTGGGATCCGAGAGTGACGAGGACGTTTAAGCAGCAGCAGGCTGCGGCGGCCGGTGTGAACTTTTAAGAGGTTCACGGGACGCTGGTGGTATTCAAGAAATTAAATAAAAAATATGAAATATCACACCTATCAATGGCGCTTTGGGAATACAAGTGACGTTGCAAGATCCTCATATGATGTATCGTACTATGATCTTCATCCCGTTGATGATATTCACGCCAACACGTCGCGGCCCTTCGCCTACCACAACAGGGCGTAGGCATCTTGGGCCTCACAGATAGACGTTGTCTAGCTCTTGTGTGCTCCCAATGAATGGCAGCCTAATTGAGTTGAGAAGAATGTTGGCCGCGGCTCCTGCTGCCACTGCACCGGTGCCTCGAGAGCACGGGCTGGTGGCTCCGCCTGTGCCCGAACTGCGATGGAGCAACTCGGTTGTGCGACTCCCGACTAACGTATTCGTAAGGATTACATTACATGTATTCAAATAACTCTATTCTAGATGCCGGGACACATTGCAGTAATGAATTGCGGCTCACTTCGGCAAAGATTCCCTCCCACCCCATTCATACTAGACACCGGCAAAATCGAAGCTTGTCGCTGCGACGCGCGGCATGTGAGTCGACACAGGAAACCACCATCACAAGAGTTCGGAGGCCTCGCACTGAGGCTGAAGTGTGCGCGTCCGCGTCTCATTGGCCCGGCGCTCCCGCCGCCGCCAATCGAGGGGATAGTTCGTAACGGGCTTGCTTCACACCCTCTTCAATAAGAGATGAGAATTTGAAAAGGCTGTCGCGTCTGGCGGGAACGGCGAACATGTCCGTTCTGAGGATGGGAACCGCGAACTGTAATTCTTTTGCCTCGCTCCAGAACTTCGGACCGTTCGACTTCAACAGAGTTAGCGAGGAGGGCCATGAAACTGGGACAGCGGCATCTTGATCCACGGACAGGGAGATGCCTTGAGGGGGGGATATAAGGTTTGGTAAGGGCACACACAGCGATCCGCAACCAGGTTTCCAGGTCGAGAAGAATCGGCTTGCTAGTCATGGAACGCGGCAAGCGCGAGTTTCACGCCGTCGAGAAAGTCGAGAGCGGCCTTTTGCTTTACCACCTATCACATCTCTTCGCCCGCTGCGACCCGACAACTGAGATGAACGTGTGTCGTCTGAAGGTTTACGCAGAGTAAGGCGGAAGTCAAAAGAGTCAGTCGCTGCACACATCGCCACCTGACTCATCGGAAGGAATCGTAAGCTCAGTCACTTTGATGCGTTTAGTAGGTAACGTATTGATGAGAAAGAAGACAGTAATCAAGCGGCGGGCTAACTATCTTCTAGTGCTCGAGAAACTCCTTGACCTCGTAATTCCTCCTTGCATAGCCGAACCAGAGGCCCAAAATGATGATCCCTAGAGCAACCAGAACGGGGGAGGCGTAGTTCATTTCGTCTGCTAGGGCGGGGAGGTAATACGGGAAACAGTAAAAGATGAGTGCGACTACAGACCACGCGAGCATGACGATGTTCGCCAGGAGGCCGAGCTTGGGATACCAGAACGGACCATGCTTGAATATGGAGCGGCCTTGCATCAGGGCAAGAACCACGGGGATGCTGTAACTGATGTACTGAAGCAGAAGGCCAGTGGAGATGAGCGAGTTAAAGGCGAGGTCTGAAGCGAGATATAGACAGCCGAAGATGGCCGTGCCAGAGGCAGAGAATATCAGGGACCAGAGAGGCGTGTGCAGTGGAGACGGCGTAATCTTGCTGAGGTAACGATGCAGCGGGAAGCCGGCCTCGCGGCTGATCGTCCAGGCAAGGCGGGACTGCCATGTCTGGATGGACCACATGGCGCCAATGGTGGTGATCATGACGGGAACCCAGAGTCCGATCGCAGCGGCCTGGCTGCCCGTGATACGATAGAACAGGGCAAGCGCCGAGTTGTCATCGGCTCCATCGAGGTAGGGCACGTTGATGAGAACCGACATGACTACCAGAAGCCCCGAGACCAGGCCGACGACGATTGTCCACATCAGCGCCTTGGGGATGTCGGTGCTGGGGCGGGGCATCTCCTCAGCCAGATGGGTGGTCACGTCGAGGCAGGAAAAGCTCCAGTTCGCGCCGTTCATGCCGATGATGAATGCGATGCCATTCTGCCACCCCGAGACGTTGATCTGAGTGACGAAGAAGTCCTTGGCGGAGGCATGCTCCTTCGACATTGCGAACAGGGTGATGAATATCACGACGATGGTGGTGCAGCTGAAGAGCAGCATGACCTTAGAGATTTTAGGGAGCGCTTGTTCGAAGCTTGCGCCAAAGAGCGTGACGATGTTGAGGAGCTGGAAGCCGAGGAAGCCCATCCACCTCTTATACTCAAAGGTCGGGTCGAGGAGGCTGATGATGCCGCAGATGCCGACGGGGACGGAGAGGCAGGCCGAAGAGCCTGTGGCTACTGCAGCGAGCCAGCTGATGACTGCCGTGATGTACGATAGGAATCTCTTGTATTTGGGCGGTGCGAGGCGATGGACCCAGATATACTGGCCGCCGGGGTGAGGCATGGCGGAGGCGAGCTCGGCGAGCGTTGTTGCTGTTGCTAAGCCGACGAGAGCCATGACTAGGAAGCCCCAGAAGAATAATGGAGAGCCTCCCATGGGAAGGGTGCTGCCGAGAACCAGCAACAGCCCGATGGCAGTGTTCGTGGTGCCGTAGCCAATACCGAGGGCGGAGAGGGTTGTGAATGGCTTCATTGTCTGCACGGTGACAGCGCCGTTCGTGATGGAGCCGCGCTCGACTGCATCATGGTCGGCCTTTTCGGGCATGACGGAGACTTTGTTGTGTGTTCCCGTTGAGGAAGTGCGTGCAAGTGAGGTTTGATTATCCATCATTGCAAAATCACACTCCGTGATGAGAGATGCTGCTAGGGAGAAGTAGTCGTGATCAACTCGTGATCATTAGAGGTAGTTAGTTGTGGGAATGTCTTGGAAGCCGAGGTGGGGTTCCGGGAGTTATATGCATGCAGTTAGATACTATCTACCGCAGAGTCGAGAGTCACATAGCTACAGCCACGGGCCTCATCTCTCGGAGCGGGGTTATCTGCCAATCAACCAAGGGATTCGCAACGTTGACAACATTATCTCGAGGTTAAGATAACGACGTCGTGGGGGAGGCATCTGGAATGCGGACTGTAGAACACGAAGCCGAGGATGACATATCGGCCGCTATCAGTTCGCATTCTCGCACATACCTTCCGCATGGGGAAAGGGGGAGCGGCGCCGCTACCGGCGCGGGCCCCACAGTCCGGATGGCCATCGGGCGGTCCCCCGCACCGTTGGGAGGTTGGGCTCAAGAGTTAGCATTTCTGAACCTCCCACGGCATCTTATATCCGGTTGTATTAATGAGCTCCTATCGACGACTTCTTGACCAGGTGTTCTGTAGGCATACGAGTCAAAGTCACAATGGGTGGAAACAGCACCAATGATAGCGCTGATCGCCTGCAAGACGAGCTTGCTCCCTATCTAAGTATGCAAATCCATCTTTGCTGAAAGCAAAGCTAACCTCTGATTACAGACCCTGTTATGTCAAGGTTTCTCTTGAACGTATCCAAGGCCATCTCGCAAGACCCAGGCCTGCCTAAGCCCAACCCGACGGTTTCAGCATGGCAGGTTCCCGAGCACCCAATTGGGTCAACCCAGTCGCCCACCCTTCCCAAGCATACAGATTTTGCTGTGATCGGCTCTGGTATCACAGGATGCAGCGTCACCAAGACACTCCTTGAGCACCAGGCTGCCGGCAACTCTCACGTCACCGTCCTGGAAGCGAGGACTCTTGTCAGCGGCGCAACCGGTCGTAATGGAGGACACTTGGTCACAGCCTCTGGACATACTTTCGGCCCGCTGGCCAAGCAGCATGGTGTTGAGGCAGCAAAGCAAATCACACGGTTCAGCATTCTCAACATCGAACGGCTGATGGAGATGGTGAAGGAGATGGAGCCAGGTCTGCAGGAAGCTTGTCAGATTCGTGATGTGCTTAAGGTCATGGCCGTCGGAGACGAAGAGACCTGGAAGGCGGCTAGGCAGTCGGTTCTAGACTTCCAGCAGGCTGTCCCCGAACATCAAAGTTATCACCGTATTATTCAAAAAGACGATGTTCCTGAAGTAGGTTTCAGGGTTGAAGCATACATCAATAATCACAGTTCAGCTGACATTATGCAGAGATGGAACATCAAGGATGCTTCAGGGGCGGTTGAACACGATGCTGGCGCCATTTGGCCCTACAGACTTCTTACCGGTGTTTATGATCGCCTGCTCAAAACGTACTCTGGGCGTCTTGCGATTGAGGCAAACACGCCGGTTTTGGGTGTCGAGTATTCTCCCACAAACGACTCGGAGCATCCTTATCTAATCAACACCTCACGAGGAACAATGCGAGCTAGGAAAGTAATCCACTGCACCAATGCGTATGCTTCACATCTTCTACCAAAGCTGGCAGGTCGTGTATACCCATTTCGTGGGACGATGTCTGTTCAAAAGCCTGGCCCTGCTCTAAAGAACTTAGGAGCCTCCAGATCCTGGAGCTTATCGCACAAAGCTTCCTTGGATGCGGAAAGCGGCTTCTACGACACCGGGCTGTACTATCTTCAACAGAACGCCTTGACCGGGAGGATCTGGATTGGAAATGAGACAGCATACATGAAGGATATTTTGACTTCTGATGATACTTATGTTCCTGCCGAAGCAAAGAAAGCGCTGTCGACAGTCCTTCCCAAATTCTTCCTCGACGGCTGGGGCTTGGAAACGACATCAGAGATAGAGGCCATCTGGTCTGGCATCCAGGGCCACACAGCAGATGGGCTGCCAATCGTCGGCCAGATCCCTCAAGCTGTTCTAGAGAAGTCGGGTGATGATGGGCAGTGGATGGCCTGCGGGTTTAACGGGTACGGCATGGACAAGTGCTGGCTGACGGGCGAGGCTTTGGTAAAGATGATGTTCGGGGAGGATGTCAGCGATTGGTTCCCACAGGCCTACATCGTAACCGAGGAGCGGCTGCACAAGGGTCTAACGAGCGACAAGACGTTGCTCAAGTTTGCCCAGATTGCGAAACCAAGTGGCGTAAAAAGTGAGAAGTTGTAGACCTTTTATTGCTATCATAGATACTTCATCCCATCATTGTTCCCAAGTTCTTTTCATGCGCCACGTCCAGCCAGTAAACATCCGTACTTCCACTGTCCAACGCCGACCAGATCTGATCAATCAACTCAGATATCACTCGACTTTTTCTCAAAGGTAGGATGTGCGTGTAAGCAGCTAGCCGCGACAGCACAAACTTCCGTGCGCGGGCGACCTCGATGGAAGCTGGGTCAATTGCCAACATGTTCAAGTCTCCTGCAGCCACAGATGCAGATTGCAAGTGCTGTGGATTTCTTCTCAACTCGCTTGAGCAAGCGACCATGATGAACGGCTGCGCGCTGCGCGTCCGGGACTCGAACGGTATCTCTCTCAGAATACCCAAGATGTGCATCGCAAGCTTGGTTAGCCATGTCTGCCTCTCTTGGGCGCTCGGCATCTTGTCCAACGGCAATGGCCGAAGTAAATATTCCTTGTCCCATGGGGCATATCGTTCGTTGAGTAAGTCAGGGAATACGCGATATAGTTGCAGAAGTCCCGTGCATCTATAGGCCTCGTCTATGAGTTGCAGGTGCTTCAACGGTGTTTTTGGGTCTCCTGGGTCCTTGACTTGGGATAGGTCTGGTGAGCGATGAGCCAAAAGCACTCGCTCAAGCTTTCGAGCTTCTCTGAGTGCGGTTCGGAAGACGTCAATGTCATTCTCGGTAAGAAACTTGACTTTGGAGATGTGCTTTCGGTATTGGAAGACGAGAACGCCAATGTCGGCGAGTATCTTGACTGTGTCTCGGGAGATGCCAGAATATGGATGCGGTTCGTCCGATTTGGTAGACTCCGCCGGCCCAAACGAAAAGTTTCGATCATAACTGCCAAGGTGATGGCTATCCGTGAGATAGGCCAGCAGCATTGCCCAGTAATCCATAGTGTCGCTAAAGAATGAAATAGTGGAATCTCTGCCCGTGTCAAGCAAGATGTCTCTCAGGATATCGCAGCTCGTATTAAACATATCCGTGGCCAGGTTCTGCGGAGTGAGCCAGCTTGACGTATGGCCAAGTAACTGAGAGGCGAGTAGCATGGCTTGCTTGTGTGATGGCAAAGAGTCTTGGCAGAGCATCTCGAGCGCTTGTGCGTGCTCGCGGCGAGCTACTGGCAAAAGGTGCGGAAAGTCTTCTGACAGACAGGCTGCCGACATGCTTTGGATGGTGTGGTAGAGCGCTCCGGAAGACTGCCACGAGGTCTCGATGATATTGCGCATGACGTTAGATTTGCTGTCCCATGCGCAGTAAAGTGTGATGACTTCGCGAAAGAAGTATTCCGAGAGTGACGTCGGGATATTGAAAGGCTGCTTGGGGATCTGAGGGGACAACTCTCGATTTGGCTGGATAAGCGCTGTAGATACGGGCATGCTGAGGATCTCCCTGTTGCAGTCTTCAAAGAGGCGTTGCTGAGCTTGGAATCCACTTAGTCGTGTCTCAGAGGGAACTCTGGCCTCCGTGAACAAGCTCTCTTTTGGTGTCTCTTGATGGGAAGATGGCAATGACAAATGATCGTTTTCAGAGTCCACAGGCGATCCAAGGAAAGTTGATTCTATCGATAAGTCGAGCCCAGACGCCGGCCGCTGGAATCCTAGCATAGCATCGGTGATAGTGCTCAAATTTGACAGGTCCGCGGGAACAGGATGATCCCAATGTGGAGTGAACTCAAACCATGAATTCAACTGGCGGCTACCTTCAGCGCTTGAATAAGTATTGTCGAGAGCGTCGTTATCAGGAGGGACCTTTGGTGAAGAAGATGAACCTCGCTTTTTTGGCGAGCCTGCTGCTTCGCTCTGCTTGGCGGCACTTCCTTCTGTCCGAACCTGAGGCCTTCGCGACCACCGCACATTGAGCGCATATCCGGGGCATTGAAAGCCTCTCTCTTCACACCTAGCGCATCCCGGCTTGCTTTCGTCACATTTTGTCTGGCAAACGTTAGTCATGATCATCGCGAAAGTTGTTCAGTGGGTCTCGCCTTCTTCGCCTTGCACCTGAGGCACCCGTTCCTAGATTTCGAGTGCCTTACTCTGGATGAGGATTGCATGGCGCCGTGTCGCCGCGATAGTACCCTGTATATGTCAACTACCGCTCGATGACAAGTTCGCAATGGCAAGAGCCGTAAAGATTCAGCAATGTTGTGCATAAGGTGCACGGAGAGAATAGAAGGTCCGGCACCGGCATTACCTACTAAGGTGATAAGACAGAGCTAGATAAGATAAGCAAGCTGTCACACATCGCCCACTGGCAGCGGCAGATATCGCTCTTTTTAACTTGATGCGGTCGCATTCCCCGCATGCTAGCGTGATCCGGGGTTGCGGGGTTTGACCGACGATAAGGCAGGCACCAAACCCATGCGACAGACGTTACCGTCCATACCAACCAAAATCTAGGAACTACTTACCTCAGCACGCTGAAAAGTTGTTCTAGTGTATGTTGTGTTGTCTATTGGGAAGGCCAATCAAATGCATCAACGGATGGGCGGAAAAGCTGTACACAAAGCATGGGCCCAGGCTAAGTTATTGACGACACATCGCAGAGAGGCAAAAGGGGGGCGGGTGGCGAGAAAAGGAGGAAAAGAAAGAAGAAGACCGCTTCGTAAGATAGTTTCATGGCTAGTAGAGTGATAACAAGACCAAACTGTTAACAGTTCCATTGAATGCCACCAGAAACCCACTAGGATAGCGATTATGACCTTTTTCATACCACAGCTTAGGCTTTCCTGAGAAAGCTCTCTTTGAAATTAACGGTAGGGTTCCTCTAATCGAAGACATTGAGTTTCTCTCTATAAGGTGCTATAAGTCCCAAGTGGAGAGGGCTACACTCTATTAGTACTCTATTGAAAGTGGACTTGGAGGGAAGTTTGTGAACGAAAATAGTCAGGATAGGGGAGAAAGCGCATTAAGATGCACGAAATTCAGAAGAAACTTCGTATTAAGATGTAGTAGTAACGTTGAATTACTGCTAACGAGAGCTGAGTACAGACGGGAAGCAGGATAACAACCCTTCACCCAGCACGTAGGCACATGCCACCTTTGATGAGCATCTTGAGCAGCTACTCGTAATGGTCTATTCTGGAATGGGATATAGAGGTGATGTGGAAGGAGACAGGGAGAAAAGCAATAAGACTGGGTCTAAACTATGCGATATGATGTGGTTTGCAGTCTGTCTACTCAACTGGATCTAAGAAGGAAATATGAAAAGAAATCAAGATGCAGTTATTTTAGTCAGGCGATTCTCCCTGAGAGGCAAGTGATTATCTGGCCTCAAGTTCAGATCATAGATGACTGCCTCTTCCTCCTCTGGTCGTCACTCACCCGTGTGTATGTCATGGTCCATGTCAAAAAAGAAAAGTAGACTCACACGCCAGTATTAGAGTGTCCACAAGTGCGTATGTGCTCATCTGATTACAATGCTTATGGGTCCAGAGCGCTGTAGGATGTAAGAACCCCCATGCAACTATCTCGCCCCAACCCCCTGCAGAGCGTGACTGACCCTTCCTTCATATGACAGGCCTCACTAAGCCGCACGGCCTGACAATAGAATGTAATAATATAACCCTTCGGACAGATATCGTAGCCCATCCAAGTTATCTCTCTTTCATCACATACCAGACATCGGCCATCGCCTCAAAGCTGCAGCGACGAGTCTGACCGAGGTGCTACGCCTCGAGCTGACCCCCTTCGGCATCCGTGTGCGCAACATCGTCCCTGACCGTGTCAGGTCGACTTTCTTCAACAACTCCAACGACGCCGTGCTACTACCCGAGTCGTCATTCAATCTCGCCACGGACGCCACCTAGGATCCGATGAATGGTCTCAATGCCCCGAATAACCAAGAGGATCCCCACAACTGGGCCGCCAACGTCGCCCGTGACCTAAGCCAGCCCAACCTGCCGTATCTTATCTATGGAGGGGCCTTCGCTGGCTCGGTTCGCATCGTGTCGTTCCTCCTCCTCGGAACGCTGGATTCGCATTTCAAGAAGGCGCCAGTGCCAGACGTTCTGGACCAGAAGATCCGAGAGCGCGGATGTGGGAGGCTCGTTGGACACAGCGTGGATAGGTAATCTGTTCTTCGTCTCATTCTATTGCAGGTCCTATACGTACTTAAGTAAATTAAACTTTCCCCAGCGCAGGTATGGGGTGTGTTATGCCTGGAAATTACATCTCGCATCTGTTAAAACACAATCATGCGTAATCAATCATCGGTCGAAACGCTTCTTCAGTTGACCCCTGAGTTCACTAACCCGCCGAAGCGAGTCCCCGTCTGGTCTGCCAGTGTTCTTGGCTGCCCGACCTCGACAATCTCGCCCTTGTCCATGACGACGACGCGATCAAAGTCCATGATCATATCGAGCCGGTGGCTGACGGCGATCACCGTGTAGGCCTCGAACTCGGCCTGGATCGTTTGCTGCATCGCCCGCTCCGTTTCCACGTCCACGCTCGAGCTGACCTCGTCGAGCAGCAGGATCCCGCCGTTGTCTTGGCCCCGGAGGCGTCGCCGCAGCACCGCGCGTCCCAGTGATATGAGCTGCCGCTGTCCCGCGCTCAACGTTCCCGCGCTCATGCTCGAGTCGAGGCCTCCTCGCTCTTGCACGAACCTCGACAAACCCACGGCAGCGAGGACGGCCTCGCATTCTTCCGCCGTCGACACGCCCGCCGGGTCCAGGTTGGCCCGAAAGCTGGTTCCGTCTGGCAGGAAGACGGCCTCTTGGGGCACCGCGATGATTCGTTGGCGCAGCGTGGTCCGATCCACATTCTTGAGCGGCACCCCGTCGAGCACCACGCGACCTGACTTCGTCGGCACGGGTTCGAGAAGTTTCAGAAGCAGAGCAATCAGGCTGGACTTGCCACTGCCCGTGCGACCGCAAATGGCAACCTTCTCTCTCGGCTTGATCGCCAGGCGAATGTCAGTGAGGGCCAAGTTGGGGAGGCCGTCTTCATCTTGACTTCCATCTTTGTCCTGGCCGTGGCTGTTCATACTGTTGGCGGCGTCAGTTGGCATAGTTTGTAGATGAAAAATGGAGTGGTTTAATGTGTCTTACCGATAGCTCGCCGAGACACCCTCAAACTCGACTGCACCATGCTGCGGCCAGGAGGCGGCAGGCAAGATATCCTCCTCGTCTCTCTCTTCGGGTTGGACTGTCTCGTTGAAGGTTTTGAGTCTGGCTATCGCCCCGATCGACGTCTCCAGTCTGGTATAATAGACCACAAATCCGGACAGATTCTCCCCAAGACTCAGCAAGGTGACCAACGAGGCACCAGCAAAGCCAGCGCTGGAGTGGAGCCGGACAGCGAGTGTAGTCAGGACCGCCGCCAACACCATCACCAACAGGTCGAGAACGAGATTCAGCCACTCCTGGATCATAACCAGGAGGTAGGCTGGCCTTTGGCTGGAATCCAACAGGTGCGCGTTCTTGGTGATATCTTTGGGTATGAAACCTGTGCGCATATCGGGTCAACCACCAATACCGTCGGCCCTGCGTCTCTCGCTCGAACTTACCGAAAGCTCTCAGGGTGGTAATTCCCTTCAAAGTGTCAAGAAAGTGGGTGCTGATTGGATGTTAGTTGCGAGTGAATGATTTGAGAGGTCGCATTGTGTACTTACTAGAGAGGGCTCTTGGTCTCGAGGTCAAGCAGCCTCAGTTGTCTCGAAGTCCGGAGGTAGAATTTCTGTATCGCGTACAGTACGACCGCAATAAATGGATAGCTGATGGCCAGGTATGCAGACGAAGTGAGCATAACCGCCGCTTGTCCAATGGCTTGGGAGAGCTTCAAAGCCTTGTCAGCATGGTTCTGCACCTAACGCTATATCCGCGGCTCGCAGGGGCAGACGTACACAAAAGAGGGTATTCAACAATGCGTCCGGTAGCTCAGTGTCGATAAGGTTCAGATCTTGCGAGAAGAGATTTGTGATCACGCCAGCGTCAGTCCTCGTGATGTAATGGAGGGGCGCGTGGATCAATGTCCGCAGAGTCTCTTGGTGCAGATTGGCACCGGCTCGTTTCACCGAGACGACGAAGATCAAGATTCCAAGGAGAAGCAACGAGATCATGGCTGAGACCTGAAGCATGATGTATATTCCAACGTAGTACGCCTGGGAGTGTTCGGAAGGCGTAGACTTGAGGTCGTCCGTCCAGAAAGAGAGCCCTGCAAGAAGTGATGATACTGATTAGCTTCTGCGTCTACAGGGTGTAAGTGTTGTTGGCACTGGCGATTGGTTGCCTTTGAAAAACCTACAGACTGTTGGGAAGTTGGTGAAAAACCCCCAAAGAGCAGCAAAGAAGAGAGAAAAGGCTGCCAGTACCCAGCCCATGCTCTTGAAGTAGTGCTTGAATACGGTCCTCTCACCCACCGGGCGAGACTTTCCTATATGCTCGGCAATAGCAGCCGGCCTCGCCGCCGTCGCATTGGACTGATTTGACTTCAATCCGGTCGTGTTGCTTGTGGATTTCACCTCGTCCGATTCAGAAATGCGATCTGAAGAGGTTGTGATTCCCAGGCGCTCGACATAACCTTGGCCGGTCATCAAGCTCTTGTAGTCTCCCTGCTCAACTACTCTGCCATCTTCGAGTACTATAACATGATCTGCTGACGGCAGGTACTTCACGCTGTGTGTGCATAAGACGACGGTGGAGCGTCTCTGCTTCAGAAGGCCTTTGGGACCGAAGGTAAGGCGGAAAACCTCCTGCTCAGTATCCGCATCCAGGCCGCTGAAGATGTCGTCTAATACAAGAAGATCAGATTGCAGATAGAGAGCCCGCGCAAGGGAAATGCGTTGTTTCTGGCCACCGGACAGCATAATGCCGTCGGACCCGACGACCGTTCTATCGCCCTGTGCGAGAACACTAAAGTCGTAGCCCAGAGCCGTGGCCCTGATAACTTCGTTATATCTGTGCTCGTCTATGGGAGAAAAGCCGATGATGTTGTCCCTGATTGTTCCGTTGTAGATGAAGGCCGTTTGATCACAGAATCCAACATGGGGAAAACGCGTGCCTAGCACAACACTGCCTTCGCTGACGGGAATTTCGCCAAGTAGTACTTTGCAGAGTGTGGACTTGCCCGAGCCAATGGGTCCAACCACCATAGTGAGCGAGGACTTGGCAATTCGAACGTTGACATTTTGCAGTGCCAAGGTGTCTGCCTCCCAGCCAAAATTTCCATTCTGCACAAAAAAAGCAGCATCTTCCGACTCGACTTTCGCCTTAGAGGAGACACCATCATTCTCTACCGCACAACTGGGCCGGATGCTCTTCTCGCTCTTTTCGGCGTCGGTAGCCGGGGTTTGGCTCAAAGACTCGGGCTTCAAATCATACCCGCGGTCACCAAGAACTCGCCGAAAATCATGGCGGGTTTCACATTCCAAGAAAGCTTGGATTCGGCCAATGCATGCCAGACCGGAAACGATCTCAGGGAGAGCCTGGAAGATCTGTGACAGAGGATTGGTGAGCAGCACAAGAAACGAAAGACTTGAGAACACCGTCTGGGTATCGAGAGTGTTCTGACTGAACCCGATCGTCAATGGCGGGCTGAGCAGCATGGGTGTGAAGCCACAGAGCGCGGCGAGGATGAATATCTTGCGAAATCGTGCCCCGGCCGCGAGCTCTTCGACGCGGAGCTTCTGCACAAAGTCCCCGACGGTAGACGAGAGGCCAGAGATCTTGAGGTTCTTCATGCTGGAGATTACCGCCGCCGTCAGACCGACACGCTTCTCGACTCCTGCCATCCAGGACCTCTGCGAGTCGCCCGTGAAGGTCAAAAGGACGCCAATGCAGAGAAAGCAGAATGTGACGATTCCGATGGGCACCGCAAACACAGCCCCCAGGCGGATATACAGCATCCAACCAGCCAGAGCCGCCTGGATGATGCCGGCCCAGACGTTGTGGATCATTCTGAATCCCAGCTTGATGCGCTCGATATCGGTGCTCATCAGTGTCACCGCGGCGCTGCGCTCCTCAGCTCCCAGTTGAGCCTTGGTGGCTTTAATGAATGTTTCAGTGACGAGAATCGACCTTGCCATGGCGCGCATCCGATGGTGTGGATACCTGTACGTTACACGCATTGTCAGTGCTTAGTCCCGTCATTAATCATATCTGGTGGAAACTGTACATGCAAAGGGTTGTGGAGATGGCGATTCCAGAGTAAATCAGTATGCTAGCCCCAATGAAACCATAGCCCACGTTCGCGGGAACCTGCGGTTGATTGAGGTACCCGAGCAGCTTCTCGATGAAGAATGGCTGGCTGAAGGTGAAAGCAAGCTGAGCCAAGCGTGGAATGACGGGCATCAACAGGTGGGCCTTCAGGGTCTTGAGTAATGCTTTGAGAAGGCCGTATTTATCGCCCTTGAGCTTGGAGTAGTCGATGTTCTGGGAGAACTTCTCGTGCAGGAGCTTAGTGTTCAACGATGTATCGAGTGGATAGAGGTCATCCATGGTGAGGGTTTTTCTGTAGCCCCTCAAAAACATCTCATTCATCCAGAACAGCACACCGAGCGAAAAGATGCTGCTTGTTTCCTCGGGGCTGTGCTCCTTGTCGTCCCAGGTAATCCATCTGGACTTAGGGTTTGCCTCCAGTAGCAATATCAGTGCCTTCAAAGCCATAGAAACGGCGAACATTACGCTGTAGGTACGCTCGGGATGTTTGCCCGACAGCAGGAAGAGAGTTCGTGTCTGGGCTACATCCAGCAGCAGAGTCAGGAACAGGTAGCAGTTCAAAAGTATCGATGGCCTCGGGCTTTTGCTGTGGTCGACAATGCTTACGGTTATCATGAGAAGTGCGGCCACCAGCTTCAGCACAGACGAGGCCATGAATATCGACGTCGTATGAAAACTCCCAATCGCGGTCAAGACGAGAAGTGTGAGTTCAAGTCCGACATAGATCACGATGGCACCCTGCAATGATTCACCGATGTAAGTAACGGCACACGCGATGAAAACACGGATTCTGGACAGAAAAATCGTACTAATTTGACGTATTGGAAAACAGGAGCATGAATGACGGTGGGTTTTCGTGCCTGCGATAGCGTGCGCCATAGTGATGTTACGATGAACAGGGCTGACGGGATGATGGAAAAGAAGAGCTGTTCGAACTGCAGGTTGAAGTCGAAGCGCTCACGGTCCATCTGGAACAAGTCGCCGTCGCCATTTGCGAAAGCCATCTTGACCTTGGGGAGACTTTGGGCGAACGCAGAGTGCGTGCAGAATAAAGTGGCCGAGACGGAGCGTGGCGACGTAAGAAAAGCGCGAAATGGCTGTTGGTGCTTGGCGAAGGGGAAGGCTGTCATTTTAGTATGGTGTTCCCTGCATGGGGCGGTATTTGGTCTCTGGGGCATTACACGCCGGAGTGACTGAATACGTTCATAGGGAGGTCTGATTAGGAAAAGGCCGCGGCTCCGTCCAGGTTCAGCCTTCGGTCAGAGTCTCGTTGGCGGCCAGAATCTACGGATATCCGGCCAGTTTCGAACTAACCTCTGGCCTTGCAGTGGGCCCATTCTCGGTTGGCTCGCCGACCCCTGCTGGTACCCCCTTCTTCTTATCAGAACCCTCGCAAGTACATGTATCGGGTCAAACATCTTACGAGCAGACCTGCAGCCTGGCTGCAGACAAGTGGAGAGCACTTCCCAACGTAGTATCATGGCCCATGATAAAGTGTAATTTTGGATGAAGCAGTTGATTGCTTATGGTAATAAACATAATGATGACAGTTATATTTGTGATGACGATTATGCCCGCGATTGATTACCCATTCGTATACCACCCAATGAGTCTTGTTGCAGGGCACTTGACCCATTACAGGGCTCCGTTGTGTGCTCACATTAGGAGTACGTTGGCTCCATTGTACACAAAAGTCCCATCCGCATCCAGATATCCGTCTTAATACCTAGCTTTGCGAATCTTCGCGTAAGCTTCCGAAGGGAGGTTTGCCTCGTTTGCGTTACGCCCGCTGCAAATGGTCACTGTAAACTCGTAACTTTAATGCAAAGCAGGACCAAGGGGATATTGACGACAGACTCATATTTGCCGAAGCTTTTGCGTTGTGGTGCAGTCGGCTGCCCTGACCTGACCTACTTGTAAATGTAAAAGTTTCATAGTGCGAGGTCAATTTCATTGATCTAGCCTGTGTTCCAAGTAAGATGGGTCTTCTCGAGGAAGGGAAAAGGTGTATTTTGATTGATTCCTTTAACTTCGCGTTGCTGGAGTGGTCGACGTCTCTAAAGTTTCTTGACGAACGAGCCGGTGAATTTGGAAGGCGGTGGCATTCTGAAGGCTGAAGACCGATTCTTAGACCTTGATAGTAACAGTCCATGGATGTAAATAATGTGGTAGATAGTAATGTGGTGTACAACAGCTGAATGTTTGTCATTGCTAGCTCTCTCCGCAGTGCCTCAGCATTGTTTAGACCTCTCCTCGCAACGTTTGTTGAATGTTAGATATTTCAGAGGTCAATCCGTAACCCCTCTGAACTTTAACTAAGTTGGGTACTGTTCCCTTCAATCATCAGGAATAAGACTGATTTGTAGATTTTCTTCTTGCTCAGCATGGAAAATTAATCAGCTGGTTATCAATCCACCAGTTCAGAATAGCATTTGAAATCTGCCATGACTAGTAGCCGGCCAGGGCTATGAGATATCGAATACATCGACTTTGAAGATCGCGTCTCTGAATTGTGGCTTTATGAAATCATTTCTTTTTAACAGTGACTACATCCATAAACCAGTCAGACAGTCATGTTTTTTCAGCCATCCAAGAGCTAAGGAACCTTGTCCCCACATATCAATTTGGTCAGGGGTGATATCTCGGTCGAGTTGCTCACCAGATGGTCATCTACCTAAGATGCAGAACAAGTTGTTGCGGCGCAAACACCGTCTCCGAGCTTCTTAGGGCACCCTAGCGCCTCAAGACGACTCGACGGCAACCTCACCGCAACCCTACAATCGCCTCGATAAACGCTGATCGTCAAGCCGTCGCGTAGATTGCTGTCATAAGGGGTGCAGAAGGTGGCGGACGCACCGAGTATGCGCCGGGCGGTATGCTCACTGGCACAGCGCGGGTTGGCCGCCCGAGCACGGCATCCTGATAGAGACATGCGTGGACGGGCCGGAGCTGGACGCCAACTTCGTGCTGCGCGACGGTCCCGTCCTGTTCCTCGAGGTGACGGACAACATGCCGTAGTCACCTCGGCGACGCAAGCAGTGGATCTCTGATCGATAAATTCATGGAGACTGTTCAGATCTCCAGCAGCGTCCCGCCGCACACGGAGAAGGACACTATCCGCCCTTCTTTCCACGACAGCCTGCTGCGCCTGGGCTTCCGCTCCGGCGTGTTCCACGTCGAGGCCTGCATGGCGCACTCAGCCGTATTGCGCACTCGGCGATGCAGTGCCGCCCATACCCGAGCGGCGTCATCAACCTCGCCCTCCGCGCCAGATCACTTGCCTCTTTCTCATCCTCCCCATCCTCGTCTCCGCCCCCTGACATCTTTCTCATCGAGGTCGATGCCCACGGGCCCAGCACCGCAGGCACATGGTTGACGCTGTACACGTACGGGGTGGATCTAAAGTCGCTTCAGTTGCTTCGCGGGCTGAGGAAGCGGAAATGAGAGCGGTTCGCGGCGCTGGCGGCGCCGTTTGCGTTCCCGGAGGACGTCGTTGTCTGCGGCGCGCAGTACTGCACAGCGGACTGCATCGTGTCTATCAACCGAGACGACCTGTATGTTCCCGGCGACTTGGTGGCGCGCGTATGTGCGGCGCAACCTGACGTTGCGCCCTTGTGTCAGCGCGTGATTGACGTGTCGAAAAGGGTGCTGGATGAAGTGAGTCTGCCGCCAATAGAGCCCCCATCGACGACGACCATGGTGGTTTTGGCGCGCGGTTGGACGACATAAGGAATGCATTCCTTGAAGATGATCTCGCGTGGAAAGTCTTCACGTCCGGTACAATGGGCAAGCCCAAGGGCGTCATGATTTATCACCGCGGCGTCTACGCCGTCTCGAAGGTCAAGATGGGTGACGAGCCTGTGGAGGCTACGGAGCAGTGAGGGGCCCGTTGTCTCTTGTCCTATTCCATTTCGTTTGATGACAGGTTTTCCGCATCTCCCCCACCATGATTGAGTGACTGACTGCTGACAATGGTTGTGTTGCAATGATCAGGTTGCGCCGGGGTTATTTGGATGGCTCTGGCAAAGGGCGGCAGCCTGGTCATGGCTTCGCCGTCCAACTTCCCCGAGGTCTCCTCAACCTGCGCGTTGTTGAGCATGACGCCATCGATGCTGGCGACCATGGATCCCGCCGGGCCTGGGCTTGCTGCTGGGTACCTCAACAACCCACAGCTTACTGCGCAGAAGTTTATCAAGTGGAATGGCAAACGGTTTTACCGGACGGGCGACCTGGCCCGCAGGACAGCGGATGGGCAACTCGCATGGGCGGGCCGGTCCGACTAGCAAGCCCAGCCTCGATCTTCGGGATTCTGTGCTCGACGTACTCCACTGTTTTACAAATACCTTTCCAGCAGGTTAACAGCAATTCTTCCTTTACAGCACAAGGAGGAAACTCCCTAGCAATAATAAGGCCCGCCAGCTTCCTCAAGAAGCAGGGGTACCCGGGTTTCGTTAACCAAAATCTGAGACTGGACACGATAGGCCGGTTGGAGGAGTACTTACAGGACCTGTCGTCTCACAATGGACAGGCGAAAGGCAGCCGTGACGACGACCCGGACTTCGACTCAGACACGGTACCAGTCACCGGCGTGCAGAAGCTGTTTCTCAACCGATCCGTGGACAATCCCAAGTTCTGCGCCCTCATCGGCGTGAGTAAGTACTTCGGGAACCCTGCAACGACAGCATCCGCCCGGCAGCTCCACGATGCCTGTGTCAAGGCCTGGTCCGCGCACAGCATCTTCAACACGCGGTCCCACCGGGCCAACTTCACCATGACCTGCGTGTCGGTGCCTGAGCCCAATACCAGCAGCGCCATAATTGCCTGCTCGACTGGTCGATTTTCCAGGAGTCCAGGACGGCGCTGACGGCGTCAGTACCGTGGGCGAGGTCCAGTCACGACAGATCAATCTAGGCTGGGCAGAGCGGGTGCGCCGTATATCCGGGCAGATGCTGATTGCGTTGTGCGACACTACGGAAGAGACTTTGGTCGCCGATTTGCTGACGCAGAGTGCGGCGGCGGTAACGGAGGCGGGTGCTTAGAAGCTGCTTCGCGCGGCGATAAGAACATTGGGGACCCTGTGGTGATCTGAAACTAAGGCCCTTCAGGACAATATTCCCGTAGTAATACACTCACGCTGTCTGAACCGAAAACGCGATTGTCCCGGCCCAGACTTCCATTTCCACCATATCATGTCTCAAGACTCGACGTTTTCTATCTTCCATCGCTAGGCTCCGCATGTGGCTCACGAATCATAGTGAACAGTCTAATGGCGTCCCCATCGTCGTCACAAATCATTTCCTTCTGGAACTTGAAGCCCCATCGTCCGTATATAGCCATGTTGGGGATGTCCTTACTTGACTCAAGATAGCACTTCATATCTTCAGCATCCGCTTGGTCTGTAACCATTTTCATCATCTTGGCGCCGACGCCTTTACCCTGTGCCTCAGGGAGCACAACCATGATGTTGAGGAAATAGTAGCCCCTGGGGTCTGTCCAGAGTTCTTTTTGGGCTTTTGCTTGAGCCTCTTTCCATATGTAGTATCTCTGCGAGTAGATGGTGGTGTAAGCGATGCCAAGACTCGGTGAGGGTGTGAATAGTGTCTTACCTTGACATTCAAACCACCGCGTCCGTACCACATGTTGTAGTTCACTTGCCCGAACCACAAGCGCCACCCCTCGAGCCAATCATTCCACGTTGATCGAGCATCGGCTGGCTGAGGGGGTAGCCACATTGCCACACCGAGTACTTTGTCATTTCCTTCCTCTTTAGCTACGTGGAAGATGCCATTACGCATCCCCCATCGCATCCGGAGGGCTAGTGACTGGTAATTCCTCTCCTGGCTGAACTATTGATGTCGAACTGTTAGTGAGAGACTCCGGGTTATGGACAGCTCCCCCGATGCTACCCACCTTGGACTGGTCGTAGACCCACGTGTTGTACGGGTCCCCAGCAAAAGCTTGTCTGCATGGACTTGTCAGTCTCTCATACAATTTCGTACTACTCTTGGCTCACTAACTGAACCGCCTGGACGGCGCCAGGGATATCTTCCTCAGTGAGGGTGGTGACGTGGATCGCCATGATGAATGATGAGTGAGGGCCCGGGAGCGGCGCAAATTCTGGACGACGCGTGGTAAGATGAGATATCAGAGATCAGATTGACAGCAGTCTTCTCTATGGCAGGTCGCGTGACCGAGAAAACGATTGACTATTATTCACAGCGAAAACTGCTTCCAAGCTAGCCCGAACGCGGGGTTGTCGCCGTTTGGCTTCGGAAAGGCCCTGCGGGGTCGAGATAAGATCGCACAGAATTGCCCTGTAAGGTTAGCGGGATGAGACAAGTGATGATAAACCCCGCCATCGGCGACAGTTCAGCGCCACCACCCGCGCGGCATTCACTCCTCCAAGTTGCGATAACTAATTGATCGACTACATCTGATCAACTTGACATGACTGACCATCACTGAGACTGAACAATTACTACAGTTGCGACAGCCGAGATCCGAACGCGAAGAATTGATGATTAAGAGCTGAAGAGCGGCAATTGGCCAATCGCATCTAGATGCCGTCCCGGCACCAGTGCGGTGGCGCAAGGAGCCTCAACACGACGACGATGGTAGGGATACCCTCCGTGGAGATGGACAGGTGCCTAAAGCAAAAGTCGGACGAATTCGAAACCTTCATCACGTTGACAGGCTCGTATGCGGCCGCAGCTTATTCGACAGCTAGGCCGCCCTTCTTATTTTTAACCCCGCGGCCACTCCGAAGGGACCTCGAAAGTCAGCCGCGGCCCCCAATGACGCCGGCAAGCTTTGACGCATTGGTCCCAATCACTGTATTAAACGGTATCTGGTGTTGGGCGTTATGGACATGTAGCTCGGAATCTTACAGGTGCAGATGAGGCTCCTTTTTGAGATGCGATCGTTTGCCGATCGGATGATCACACGAGAGATGAAATTACGGATGAGTGTTTGCTTGTTGTGAAAAGCGCCACGGGACGACGCAAACAAAACCGGAAGATTCACCCGTTTAATTCGGTGATACTAATTGCGAGCCGAGCCGTTGGGGGAAATTACGGCTTGATTGAGGCGGATCATGGGCATGGAAAAGAAACAAAGGTGTTTCTGCCCAAAGTCCGCCTCTGTGGAGGAGTTTGATTGAAAATCACATAGGCGGTGATGGATGAAAAGGGGAAAAGGTACGAGGAGGCAATTCTCGAACATGGATCAGGCGTAGTTCGGATGAGGAGGGGACAAGCAAATCACCAGTTGCGATTGGTAGACTTTTGAGTATACCTGTTGTATTTGTTCGGACTATTGGTGGCTCGAATTGATGGCTAGACTGATTAACACAAGGCTTAGTGCGGCTTTCGTGGTGTTTCGCAGTCAGATGGTTGCCGGGCTGTGTTGTGTGAGAAGAGCGTATCGTCATTGTCCGAAGTGTCTGCTGGTGGTGGGCGGAAACTCTGAATCCCGAATGGCCGCAGCAAGTATCAATTAGTATTAGTGCGCGGTTGAGGCGGCTTGCTGCCACACTCTATTATGTTGCCTCTCCCGTCGTCCGAATTGCGACAGTATGGTATTTCTGGAGACTCGTTCAACACGTTGCAGCGACGCGTTCTTCAGCTCAATGCAAAAGTCTATCTAAAGCAACAGAGCAGAGGGCCAGACTTTCAGGGTCGAATCAGGTCAGATGGCGACCACAGAACACAGTCCGCAGAAGACAACCACGCGTTCCGTCAGCCGTGGGCCGTGGCATTTTATGGGCCTTTCCCCCCAATATAAAAAAAAGCTGGGAATTTCAGGTTTATTGCGCGTCGATCACTGCCGCGGGAGGATCGGAGCAGCCATGATGCAACCGATTCAGGGGCGCCCTTGCTCTCCCCGTTGAACTGTGGAAACTGGAAAGTAACTGGACACTCACTGGACACTGCACCTGGACTGGAGTCACTCAACTGGACGTTGCCTCAGGTAAAAGAGTGGAGAGGCGGCGGCAAGTGTGAGCCCCTGACTTGTTGCATTGCACAGCACAGCACAGCACAGCTCACAGCATTGAGGAGGAGCACTGCGAAGTGTCCTTTTTAAGACTCGAACTGCACGTCGCAGATCCCGTTCGTCCTGTCTCATCATCCCAATTGTCACTCGTCGCGTCGTCTCAATCCCCCCCCCCCCCCCCCCCCCCCCCCCCCCCCCCCCCCCCCCCCCCCCCCCCCCCCCCCCCCCCCCCCCCCCCCCCCCCCCCCCCCCCCCCCCCCCCCCCCCCCCCCCCCCCCCCCCCCCCCCCCCCCCCCCCCCCCCCCCCCCCCCCCCCCCCCCCCCCCCCCCCCCCCCCCCCCCCCCCCCCCCCCCCCCCCCCCCCCCCCCCCCCCCCCCCCCCCCCCCCCCCCCCCCCCCCCCCCCCCCCCCCCCCCCCCCCCCCCCCCCCCCCCCCCCCCCCCCCCCCCCCCCCCCCCCCCCCCCCCCCCCCCCCCCCCCCCCCCCCCCCCCCCCCCCCCCCCCCCCCCCCCCCCCCCCCCCCCCCCCCCCCCCCCCCCCCCCCCCCCCCCCCCCCCCCCCCCCCCCCCCCCCCCCCGGCCGTCATCTCAACTCGCCCAAACTCTCTTTTTTTCACGGCCAGGCCAGGCGATTGACTCAAATACACTCACTCACTCACTCACGCACATTTAATTGCACTCGCATGCCCCCGCGAGTGCACTCACCCGCCCGAGCAAGACCGCTCTACCAGACGCCGTCATCATGATCAACAACGTCTGGGACAAGTCTGCGCGGGCGCACAGGGGCCGCGAGCAGGAGACGGAGCTCCTCCCGAGGACCGAGCAGGATGGCCGCGACTGGCGCGAGGGCGACGACGAGAAGCAGCAAAAGGCCCAGGGCGCGGACTCGAGGAGGAACAGGGACAAGATCAGGTCTCTCGACGGTCTCCGCGGCATCGCCTGTCTAATCGTCTTCAACTACCACTTTTTCTGGCCATGGACGCCCTTCATCATGCTGGGAAACGGCGCGTTTCCTCCAGGAGCCCCTGAGCCCTACGTTGGATGGCACCAATTGCCCATCATCTGCTTGCTGCATCGCGGTCGGCCCATGGTCGCCATCTTCTTCGCCATATCCGGTTTTGTGCTCTGCAGGCATATCTTGAGAGCCATTCACGAACGGCGTGTCGAGGCCGCCTACAAGAGCCTCGCATCGTCCGTCCTGAGGCGCGTGTTCCGTCTCTACATCCCGCCCACCATCAGCATGGCCTTGGTGGCCCTGCTGGCTCAGATGGGCGCCTTCAAGTCCGAGAACGCCATCTTCAAGGGGCCTGATTCGGCCTACATCAACGGCACCGTCACCTTTGCCCACCCTCAGCTCGGCGAGTCCTGCATCAACGGAACCGTTGCCGCCGCCGGCCCCAAGAGCGTCGCCAAATACCTCCACCTCCAAACCCCGCTAACCCTGGGTAATCTAACAAACTTGACCGCATCATCAGACCAGCTCTGCTTGAACAAGACGTCCCAGCTCTTCATGCCAGCCATGCTCTACAGCTTCGTCGACAGTCTCGAGGTGGACCTCAAGCCGGAGAACAAGTCAGCAAACGCCACCCTCAAGCAGATGGAATCCACCAAGCCGCGGCCCCGCGAGGAGAAGACTGGGGGTGGACACCTGGAGAAGATCTGGGGAAAACACAGGTCATCCACCCAGGAGCAGGCCGAGAAGGACATGGCCGAGGCCGCAAAAGCCAAGAACCTCACCACCACCCACAACATCACCTGGGTCCAGATGGGCGGCTCGTGGGAGGAGCACCCCATCATCCACGACAACATGACCTACGCCATCAAGAACTTTACCAGAGTCTACGCGGAGTGGGCGAACCCTTTTAACTTTGGCCACTACCACACCCGTTACGACCCTCACACCTTCACCATCCCCATGGAGCTCCGCGGCTCCATGTTCATCTACCTCTTCCTGCTCGGCACGGCGGCCATCAAGGCGAAGTGGAGGATGGGCATCGGCAGCTTCCTCTCCGTCTACAGCTTGATCTTCGGGCGCTGGGACATGGCTGCCTTCATGGGTGGAATGGTGTTCTCCGAGATCGACATCCGACGTACGTCTGATACCCACGACGGCTCGCTCGGGTACCCCGGCAAGAGCGACCCCCGAGGCCGCCGAGCAACCCTCCTGCAGAGAGTCGTCTCCGCAACAGCAACCCGTTGGATCACGATGTTCGTGGCACTCTACTTCCTTTCCTATCCCGACGCCTCGGCCGAATGGACCCCAGGTTTCGTTCTCCTTTCCTCTCTTGTGCCCCGCTACTACATCCCCCTATCCGGCTGGATGTTCTACCAGTCCATGGGAGCAATTCTCCTGCTCCCGTGCATCCTGCGCAGCCCCGTCCTCGTCCGCCTCCTGGAAGGACAGGTGGCGCAGTACCTGGGCAGGATCAGCTTCTCGCTGTACCTTGTCCACGGCCCCGTCCTGCACAGCCTGGGCTTCTGGCTCATGCCGAGGCTCTTCGAGAATTTCGGCCGCGCACAGGGCTACGTCCTTGGCTGGATCATTCTGATGAGCGTAACATTATATTTGACGAACTTATGGAATAAGAAGATTGACGGCTGGAGCACGACCGTCGGCAGGAGGGTAGAGAAGGTGCTGATCGACTCAGCGTAGGCATTGAAAACTGTCAGAGGCATCGTCGCTCTAGATAGAAATTGATTTGGCGTTTCGGATTCACACTTGACGCCTTTGGCTGGCTCTACGAACGAAAGTGAATGTTTTGACTTGTGCGAGCAAATGATTTGGCTTGATGTGGCCGTCGCGCCGGTTCCAGCTCGCGCTTTTAACGTTTTTCGACCTTGAGAATTCATCAATGAAACCCATGATTGTCTGCCATATCGTATTTATAAGATTAGTAGAATGTTAAGCAAGGATTTACATGAAGTCTCGAGTTCCTGTCCTTCAACAACACTCAACACTTCCAAGACGGCGTCGACAGCGCACCCATCCCCTCTCAGACCGCCTAGACATTCGCAGAGTTTCCCAGCTGACGCGATAGCAGAATCCAGTCACCGCACGACGTAGCATTGGAAACAAGACGCGTCTTCAGGTCCACGCGGAGAATATCGTTGCCGGTGAACGAGACTGGCGTCCCTGCCGGCACAGTCCTAAAACTCAAAGTCAGATGACCTTCAGCCAACACGGTAGATCGGATCAGTCAAAACGTACGAATTGTAGCCCGTGGTGACGGCGGTGTACTGCCAATTGTACGCAATCTGGTCGCACGAGTGCAGCAGGAACGTCGGCGTCTGCGTGCTGTTCGTCGTGGTCGCGTTCTGAGGCGCGGTGATGGCGTCCCAGAGCTGGTCGATGTTCAGCGTGGGCGGCCCGAAGGTGTCGTCGTAGCTCGTGACGTTTGGACCGACGACGGCGGCGAGTTGGGTCTTGGTGGAGGTGAGCGGGGTGTCGAAGATGGCCAGCCAGCGGCGCGCGATGTCCCAGGCCTCGTCTTCGCAGAGGCAGGAGAGTTGGGCTTTGGAGTGGGAGGAGGGGAGGGAGGGGGAGTTTGTTGTTGTTGTCATTGTCCTGCCATGCGCTGTTGTTGCGAAGGCGGTCAAGGCTATTGTGAGGAGAGCGGAGTGACGCATTTTGGATGAGGGAGATGATGAGAAGGTGAGGATGTAATTCAGGGTTTCTTGATGCCAACTTGAAATGAGTGATGGGGTCTATTTGAATGAGCGGATGCCTTGTTTAGTGAACTGGTTGCCGTCCGATACGAGCTTTTCCAATCGCTTCTATGGCGCACTTTTCAGAATGTATTTGAATGCAGACTGCTGTGAGGGACAACGCGGTAGAGCATGCGGATGAGTGGAACGGTGGCTGGCCTGGCGACGTACTTGACGTGGGAGTCGTGAGGAATGTGGCGTCTCTGCATGTATGGCACTGGAGGCGGCACTCTTTTCAGCACGCCACGATAGCATCCACAAATGAACATCGAATCATTCTGAATCACTCTGATTTCGTGCGAGAACCTAGAGCAGCCTCGGAAAAACGCCAAAGATCCAGATGGACTGGGTTTGCTACGTCGCTCCGAGAGTTGTTGTTCGTCGTGGGTATGATTGAATCAGGTACTTGAGTTCTCAGTACGTGTGCTATGAATTTAGTGTGCGATGAACCTAATCTCAAATGCAGCCAAGAGTTAATATATGGTGCTAGTTTCATGGCTGTACATGTCTTTTGCCCACGTGCCTACCTTAAGGTGCTGTGAGGCGAAGTGCAAACCTCGCGTTTGCGTCGGAATTCTTAATTAGACGTCTTGTGTTACATATGCTTTCCCTTGTATTATTTTTTGTGAACCCAAATTCGTTCACCAGAGAACAGGACAATCAGATCCAAGAGCTGTCACATATGCCGTCGTGTAAAGTCCTGGGAATGACGGCGTTTCCCCATTCGCACCATTATTCCACTATTTAGCTAACCCCGGCAAACATGAGCATAGCTACAGCCGGGCTATTGAATCAATCTGATAAATAGAGCTAAGCACCGAAGAATGGGTCCAGAGGAGCCGGATCTGGATGGGGAGATTCCCCATAGACGTCCATTGCAGCTTCACGTAAAAATGCCACAACAACCCAACGACTGTGATCTGAAGCGGCCTCCATGATTCGAAATGAAGCCTGCGCCTTTGAAATACTCGCACCAGCCTCGACTAATCGCTTGACCACGTCGAGATGGCCGAATGAGCATGCGCTAGAAAGAGCGCGTTGAAGATTGCGATCATGTATGTCAGTATCGGAGTTTGCAGCCCCTATGAGCATCTGAACAATGCTGAGATGGCCCTTTCTGGAAGCTGCATCAAGTGCCTCCCCATCCTTGGTGTCTGCCTTGAGACCTAGCAACACCTGAACAATTTCTTGGTGTCCCTTCAAGCTTGCAGCACACAACGGCGATCCGAATTGTCCTCTGGATTCGATGCTCAGTCCCTTTTGGATACAGAAAGCAACCATAGAAGAGTGCCCGTGTAAAGCAGCAGTGGCGACAGAATCTGAAGGCAATAGCTCGATCGAAGCAGGATTATCCTTGAGAAATCTTTGTAGTTGACGTACCTGGCCACGCTGGACCATGCCGCTCAATTGCCTGGCCGTAGACTGCGCCTGATCTCTCCGCATTGTCTGGAGAAGATTTACCACGTCTATGAAACCTGAATGACCCGCAATGGCGATAGTTGAGTTCATACGCTCTTGGTCGAGCTTGAGTATTGGGGCGTCGTGCTCAACTATCACCCGAGCAACAGCCTCATTGCCACCTTTAACTGCGGCATCCAATGCGTCGCCGAAAATTGTTTCGCTGCATTGCGTTTGTGCCCCGTTTTCCATTAGTTTCGCTGCTACTTGAGCGTGACCATGGAAACATGCGGCGTGCAATGGACTTCCGTACCGTCCGCACTTCGCATCGGCGTTGGCTCCCTTACCGATTAAGAAGCTGACGATACTCATATGTCCAAACACAGAAGCTATGTATAAGCCCGTATGGCCTCGTTTGTTCGGCTGGTTCCAATCAAATCGGGGTGTGTCCATGTGCGCCATGAGACTGTGTAGGTTGAAAGCGCATGCCAAGAAAAGTGGAGTGGAGGAAGAACTCTCCAGCGCGTAGAAGTCTCTCCTCAGAGGATCTTCTCTTGGCAGGTCTAATGACCAATCATAAGCATCTTGCAACCAAAATTGGAAGGCTATCGTAGGCTCTTTGTCGTCATCCAAAACGAAGCCAAATATCTGGTCAGACAACTCGCGGGAGGCCACTGAGGATATATCCCCGTAATGAAGCGCCCAGTAAAGTGTAGCGTATCTTTGAAATTCGGCTTCAGGCTGGGGAAGCGTACTTCGGTCGTCTGATGTTTCTTGGACTCTCATATGCAAGCATCTGGTAATTATTCTCGCGTGGCAAATCTGAAGATCAAATTCTGGCCTTGAGAGAAGAAACTCCCGGATGGTCGAGTGAGCGAACGTGACCTCCCCCGTAGTATCATCAACCATGATAAGATTGCGACAGATCCTTAGGAGTGATGACTCGTCAATGTTGTTGCATAGCATCTCCTTAGATGAAACGGCAAGGAGTAAAGCGCCAATAGTCAAGGTTTCTTTGGCATACAGGAGCCACTTGAAAACATCAGCGCATATTCGCGACGAACTTGGACCAGAACTCGCGACTCTAGTCAAAATTTCTTCGTACGTTGCACTCAAGTCTGGCGGGAGAGTTTCCAATAGTCCGAGAGCGTCCGGCTCTGTTTCAGCAAGGGATAGGCGTTCAAGCTGGAGTTCGACCCAAAGAAACCTTGGATGGATCAGATTATTTCCAAAAGTGGGTGCTCGACGAAGAAAGTCCACTTACATTCCGCCAGCTTTCTGCTGTACGCAACTGGAAAGCCTTTTCTCGAAACCTTCAGAAAGCTGTTGTCCAAGAACTCCCGCTCGACTTTTCTTCAATTTGTCAATGTTGTGTTGGATGAAAGGTGCCATGTCCTGATCGTTGTCACGGGGTTGTATCCGTATCTGATAGGCTCCCGAAAGAAGTCCGACAATCTGCGGATCGTCTCGGCCTGTAACGAGAACTTTGACCACACACCGAGCAGTATGAACCAGTGAACAAAGAGCTTCAACCAACGCCGGTCGGTCCCTCTCTTCTAGCTCATCGAGAGCATCGATGACGATAAACAGAGAACGCAGATCTTTCGTTTCTTGGATCAGTTCCGTCGATTCTTGAATTTTCAGGCCAGGTAATCGGAAACCCTGCTCCTTGACTTCCTTTTGGCGGTTTTTGAAATGTTGAAATAGCACTGCTTGGTTTTGGGTCATATCTTGACTGCCCTTAATCGCAACTTGACGCAGTAGACTTGCCATGATATGCCTAGGGCATTGTCTTTCTGCCTCTGCAGCACTTCTTTTGCAGTAGAAGTAGACAGTCTTTGAGTCGGTCGAAGTCTGTGTTTGTGACAAGCTGTCAATGATCTTCGACGCAAGCATGGACTTCCCCACCCCTTCGCGTCCATAGATCAACAGCACTGAAGATGTCGTCAAATCTCTCCACTCCACGACCTCTCGATGTCCCACAATCCATTCAGCTGAATTTCGCAGCCTGCGGTTGCTTACGTCTCGATGTTGAGCGTGGAAATCGAGCGGAGACAGCCAGGTCAGAAACTCCAGCCACTCCTCCTGCTTCTTTTCTTTTTGAACAGCAATATCACGCTTGATGAGATCTGCAATGGGTGTCTCCATGTGTTCGAGAAGTTGGACTGCTTTGGAAACCTCTTCCTCGCTGACAATTGACCTCTCTGCAGCGACCAACCTGAACAGCTTGTCGACTTCTGAATCCATTGAGACGATGTCTTGAATTTCGAACAGCTTGGCAGTCCTGGTCGTACTTCTGAGTACTCGTTCTTTCCAGCCAAACATTAGCTTTAAAGTTAACTTCGTCTGACCCCTGCGGAAGAAACTTACTCCATCCAGGGGTATCTAGATGCTTGATGGCCTTTGCTAGGAACGCAAGCACTAGAGCATAAAGCCTTTTCAGAGACACTCGAAGCTCTTCGCTAGCAGATGTTTTACGTAGGGCGTAGACAGTCTCGGAAATTGTGTGCCGTGTAATAATTCGAGATATGAACTCGAGGTTTTCGGTCAAGGCCCTGAACATTTCGACATCGTTTACGGCGATCTGTAATAAGAATCGTACAGCAGCCCAAGGAAGTGCCGCATGCGTTGGATCGTATTGCACCGCTGTGTCAGCGACGGCCTTGAAGCAGTCGACCCACTTGATAATGTTTTCCAACACGTCGCGAACAGCGACTTTTCCACCGCCTGGCTTGTTGATTTTCCATCCTTCATCGATAGTTCTTTGCCTTATCGTCTGGGCTTTTTCCAACACCTGTTCCAAAATATCGACACTAGGCTTTTGCAGACTACTGAGATTTGCTTTGGTGTCAGCATCCAGCAGTGTGCAGGCTTCATCCCAAAGGCTTTGGACACTACCTGATGGGATCGACGTGCCCATAGTTAATTCATGATATGAAGCAAAGAATGGTACGACAGTTGGAACGCTAGCGTTGTGGAGAGACCTACGACAGGCCCCGGGTTTAAAGGAGGCGGGCTTTTTCCAATCCCGACCGTCTCGACGCATGTTCCAGGGGAAGACTGCGCCATGGCACATCGAACCAATCGGACCAAAACAGATGGAAGGCACTGCCACCTGTCAAGGTAGCATTGGCTCTGAATGAATGAATTTTATCCAATCATTGGTTCCGGCTGCTCATGCTGCCATCAGCCCATCAGGTGCTGAGAATGATGTTCATTGGACAAGAATGCTAACTGTTCTGGCATGTCGCGGGCCGCTGAGATACCGATTAAACACAACGTATGGTATCGTTTATCAAATGTCGACACACTCTCACACCTGTTTCTGACCGCAGCTCCCTCCGCCTCAATATGACCCCATTCGAGTCCTGAATGACCTCCCCGCCCTCATACGGTTTCCTCATCACATATAAATTTGAAAGAGCTGTTTTGTTTGTATAGGACGAAGCTTTGTCATGGCTTTACGGCGGCGCTGAGGGGCTAATCGATAGTCGTACATCCCCTCAGAGTCTTTGGTGAACTAGTTAAATTACTGCTGCGAGAAGGATTGTGATTCTGAGGGCATTGAAGCTAGTCAAATGAGAGATTTCGTATAAACCTTGAGTTGAAGCCATGGAAGCTGGCAATAAACGCCCAATCTGTTGCATGCATATATTTGGGCGTTTCCACATTTTCATCCATGTCAAGGTGAACAGTAAAGAGCACCTATGTGGCTTTTATGCAGACCGCGCATTAGAAATAACTAGAAAGGCAGCTAAATTGCCCATATCAGGTATCTAATCCAAGCCTAGAAGACTATCAAACAGATACTCAGAACTAGGCTTATGACCCAGGAATTCCTCCAGCATCTCCATCTCGTCACGGCTTCCACCAAACCCAAGTATTCCTTGACGATATCTCTCCCATCGTTCTTGACTGCGCGGATTTTCCACAAAATTGTGGTGAAAGATGTCTGCAGCGAATACTGCTGCGCTATTTGGTGCCAACATCAGCTCCTTGGAAAATCAATCTTGCCTCGATAGACTTACCATAGATATGAGTAATACCCTGCGTCCATTCCAGAAACCATATGATGAAAGTTGGACTGAGGATGTCCTCTGTCTTTAGCGTCGGGGTTGGGAAGCAGTCGGAGCCTCTCCATTGTGTCATTGAATATTTCCGCAACATCCAGGTGAAGGCATTCTTCGTGAGTGGCGGGGCTGTGAACGGCCATATCGAAGCGGGCGAAGGCACTAATTATCAAGTCTTAAAACAGTATCCAGCAAAGGGTATGGCGGCATGACTTACAGCTGACGCAACAGCCAGAGCGCCCTGTTCACATTCCTGCTTCTGACAAGAGGCCCCAGAAGTTCATCAGGTATCTTCTCGGGCGGGTCTGGCTGGCCCGGATTCTTTCGGCGCCAATCATCCAAAAGCTCGGGGTTCAATCTGGTGTAATGGCAGCTCATATGCCTGAGCTCGTCTGCCATCCAACACCAGTTCTCCAACATGACACTGGGGACCTCAAAGAAGTCAGGCGGCATGCGGTGTCCATGGACCATAACAGTGCGAGTCCTCGACACAAGATCGTGCATACCGTGGCCCAGCTCATGGAACAGAGACACAATTTCGCTATGCTTGAGTAAAGCGCAACCGGTTGTGGTTGGACGAGGGAAGGCGCACATCAGAATCGTCGCCGGGTAGACCCTAGTGTCGTCCGGTCTCAGATACCCACACTGAAGATTGACATTTTGTGAGCCTTGATGCTTCTTGGGTCTGATAAGGAGATCCGTGTACAAGTAGCCGACAAACACGCCTTTGGAGGCGTCTCTTTCGTCCCAGACTGCCCATACCTGGACGTCGTCATGCCAGACCACGTCCTTCTTCTGGTCGGCCGTCAAGGGAACGAATCGAAGTTGCAGACAAGAGGCGAATAGATCCAGCATTGCTGAGACGGAGTAGTCTAGTGGGAAGTACTCAGAGATCCGGCCGTGCTTGACATCGATCCGTTCTTGCATCAGGCGATTGTAGTAATCGTAGTCCCAAGGGGGCATCGAGTCGTTGTCTTGCGGGACGTCTTTCTTTCGTATTTCCAAAAGCGACGCCATCTCTTCTCTTCCTTTTCGCAGAAGGACATCCTCGAGTTCATCGAGGAAGCCATTCACCCACGTTGTGGCCTTGGCAACACGAGCCTCCAGTCGAAACGCCGCGTGGTTTTCGTACCCCAGCAACCTCGCATTCTCGTCTCGCAAGTCGATGACCTGCTTGAACAGGTCGACGTTCTCCGGGACCTTGCTTTCGTTGGAAACGTAGACTTCCTTTCGGGTTGACGGTGCTGTGGCGTACTGCAGGACGGCGTTTACATCTGCTCTCGTGAAACGTACAAACGCCTTATCCTTGGTACTGACATCCGTGGAGTCTTGACTCCCCGAGAAGCGAGCGAGGTCCTCCGCAGGCACCCCTTCAAGTTCGTCTAGAGAAAGCCATAGGCCGCCATCATCATTTCGATAGTTCCGGTTGCACTGCTGTCTCAGCTCGTCGATTTGGTTTCTCCTGTTCAAGTAGACTGCCACCTGATCCTGGTCAAGACGCCCATGGCCACCCCTCGTGAACTGCTGGATGTTGCTTCTGAGGAACTTGGCGTCTTCGAAGTGGACATCTTCAGATTTATCCTCAACAGCCTTGAGCAGATGGTAAAAGTCCTTTCTCGCTATCCTCTCGGCGTCCCATTGTCGCAAGAGTCTAATGGCTGCGTCCGATGCCTCACGAGCTAGTTGGTCCGGAGAGGCGTAGCGCAGCATTGCAATGACAGCTATTCGACCTTGGGTCTCATTGTCCACATTGATCAATGGCCGGATGGCGGTGTCAAATGTTGCCGATGCAGGGTTGATAGTCGCGGCCACATGATTCCAAGTGTCGGTTTGCTCTTTAATGACCTGCTTAATAATTGGAACAACATCCTTCGCTGCTATGAGACGAGGAGGCTCCTGAGAAGGGATCATATTTGTCGTCGTCATTCTGGCTGCTGTCATAGTACCATACACTGAACTGTGCTATGTGTTTTTGTGATAGTTATATGAGTACTTATGTGAATGATTTCCTGTCACGAGATTCGAATCTGGTCGATATAAGTAGTGGTTTTGGATATGCAGTAAGAAGAGGGGGATTCGATCCTATCGATCAGGGCGGAAGCCTGATTGGGTGCATGTGCCGCGTATCCGCGCATCTCAAGTCACAAGACTCGACGTAACAGTAGGCCTAAGTCGCTTTTCTTACTTCCTGCCCCTGTAGGAATGAGTTCATGCACGCGTGACGGCCAGCTCTAGGATCAATAATAGATAATGAGCGGTAGAGACATTTCCCCCCTGACGAGGAGCGCTGCCGAATGCAACGCTTACCACTACGCAGACATCCCGCAAACTTGGGCCACGGAAAGTATCCAACCCTCAAAGTCTACCACATATCTCATCATCTGCCGTGATACATCAGGGAAAGAAAGATTGTCGGAAATTGATCTTGACAGTATCATCCACGATGACTGTTCACAGTAACCCGCAACTCCGACGTCAACACCTTTCTCCCTAGAGACCCTTAGACCTTGCCACATCCTCCATGATCCTGTTTACATCAAAGTCCGCATTGTTGAAGTCATTCTCGATGATATCCTCCACCCACTTGCCTCTTGGCGTGAAGACAGCCTCAAATGGCGAGGGGCCAATGACGATCCCCACCGGTACGGTGTCCCTGTCGTCAATGACCTTCTTCTTCTTCGTCTCTGGGTCAATGGGCGCTTCCATCTCATAAGCCCACAGCAGACGAGTCACCATGATCCATAAGATTTCCTTCGCGACATGCCTTCCAGGACAGACCCGTCGCCCGTTTCCAAAGCCTATGATCGGAAGATCGTTCCTCTCCAACCACCGCTCTGGTCTGAACTCCTCGGCATCCGCACCAAAAGCAGCTTTGTCTCTGGCGAGGGAGAATTGGGAGGTGACAATTATAGTGCCCTTGGGAATCCTGTAGCCCATGTACTCGTCCTCCTCCACGGAGAGGTGGTCGACTCCAGAGGGGACGACGGGACGGTAACGCATCACCTCGTCAATGATGGCGTCGATGTATGGCATCCGCGGTCGATCATCGTGCGTGGGCAGACGATCACGTCCGACAACTTCGTCCAGCACTTGCTGGGCTTTGTGCATCACTCGAGGGTAATTGATCATCATCACCAGGAACCAAGTGATGAAGGTCGGGCTGGTGTCACCGTTGGCAAGAAACAGCGTCCCAATGACCCAACTGATCTCTGTGTCGCTCAGCTCCATGTTCAAGCGCTTCGCACTATCGGCCACCTGCTTCGCGACATTGTACCCGGGCTGGTTCACTGCGTTGCGCAGGTTGCGGAGGTGATATGCCTCTTCTTCCTTGAACATGGACTCGGCACGCAGCTTCCAAGGAGATAGTGCATAGGGAATGGACTTCAACCAAGGGAAAATGTCGACAAGGGGTGGGTTCTGAAGGGCCTGGAGTGTCGGGCAGGTGAGGAGGAAGTCCATCTTGCCAGCAGTAGTGGGGTCTTCTTTGACAAGGCGGTCTCCATAAAGAATGACGTGGAGACTTCCAACATTGGCTCGCTGGAAGTACCATCGTGGGTTGAAGGGACGCGGAGTCTGGTCTCCCTCAGAGCCTGGCTGAGCTCTGGACTCTGTGAGGATGTCGTGGAGGAGCTGAAGAGACTCGAGACGTAGGACTGGGTCGTAGAGCGCAGCAGAACGTGGGTTCAGCCCAGCCACGTTCAACCTCTGATGTAGACGCATCCGAGCATCATACTGGCGGAAGATGAGGTTGTAACCTTTCGATACCAAGTCACCAGCCATGACGCTCAGATCACGTCCGGAATACTTGGCTGCCCTCTTGTTGAGAAGCTCATGTGTTGCTTCCACGGTTGTCAAGACAACCATGGGTTTCCCCAAAATGTTGAGATAGACTAAGGGGCCATAGTTGAACTTCCAAAGGTACTCTGTTAGCCATCTTCGGCTGTCTGGGTACTTGAGGAGGTTGCCAATTACGGGCCATCCAGGGGGACCAGGAGGGAGAGGGAGCTTGGAGCGCGATGCATGATGGGCATAGAATAAGCAGGCAACCAAGAAGGAAGCGACTAGAAAGACTTGCTGAGAAGCGATTGATGCCAACAGACTTTCTTTGCGGTCCAGCTCATCGCTGAAAATCGTAATATTGAGTGTAGTAGAGTTCATGTTGGTTATGTGGTTGGGGCAAGGGAAGAATGCTTAGTCTGTCTTGATGAGACAATCCCAAGCTGCGATGCGCTCACCATCAGACGCGAGCAGTATGTTTTTAAAACATTAGAAGCATCACTTAGAAAAAGCCATTGACGGAAGGCGTCACAAAAAGTGCAATCAATTTCTGGCAGTGTATCCGTGGCTCCTCGTTTGTGGAGAAGCATAAATCCTGCCGAGCGGCCCGCGGGAGCAGTGAGCTGCGATGCATGTCAGACGTGAGAGACAATGCATGCTTGTCTCATCCAATAGGACAACTGGCAGCTGTGTTACCCAAAGGTCTTGGCTCACAGTCCGACGTAGCTATCAGACCAGCATTTCAATTAGACAACTCCTCATTCGCCGCTCAGTAAAGATGCGCGCTGCATGCCAATTATCACATTGCCGGGTGCGGCCTGATGCTTCTCGTTGCATCGCGCGTCTGCAACTTGCGTATTCATCAATTGAGCGTGAGAAACAGGGTTGCGACCGCAACCGTGTACCGCATATTGCCAGACAGGGAATCCAACACGGCAACTAAGCACATATGCACAGCCCGTAATGCCAGAGGGATCTGCGAGTATCCTTCCTAATATCAAGCAATCTCAGTAATATCCCCTCCGGCCACGACATCGAAGAAGGCATCAGCAAGATAACCCCCACGCGACGTCGGCTTTCCGTACTTATCCGTCGCCATGCCGGCAATGGAGGGGGCGGCAACCTCCCGCATGTAGCCCGCAATCCCTTCCTTCTTGAACTTCTCCGCGAACTGCTTGGCGTGCAGACTGAGGCCCTGGGTCGCCCAGATTGGCTGGACCTGCCACACGATGCCCATCTTGGCAATGTCGGCCGGGAACGTCTCGACCTCCTGCGGTGAGTATCCTCCCTTGCTGAAGTCATACGCACCCGTGTATCCGAAGGCGAAGAGACGGTTCGGGTACGCCTCGCGGAGGGCTGTGTGGAACTCGTGCATGTCTTTCTTGTCTGGGAAGAGGGTTAGCGTTTGTTCGTCAGTCAAGTGAGGGGGCTCGCGGGAGGATGCACTTGGTTTGTCTAATAAGAATGTCAGCTTCTAACGCATGTGCTTTGTGATGTTTCAACCAAACGCACCCTGACGACTCCACGTCACATCACCGAGAGGTGCGGCGAGAATGCATCGGTCGATGACAGCTTTGGTGGACCATTGCCACATGTACTGGCCCAAGGGCGTCCTGGGGAGTTCCCAGTCGAATGCAATATCCTGACCGACAATACGCTTGGCGGCAGCTCGCCGGTCCTGCAATGCAACTGTCTTGTCGACGACCTCGGTCATGTATGCCTCGTATTGTTCTTTAGTTGCCACGAACTTGACAGCTTCATCAAATGTCATGAGGCCGGCAGAGGCCTTCCACTCGGACTTGACGGTAAGATAATCCTTTCCAGATTCCTTACCCTCCTCGATTGCTTGGATGAAGGAGCTAACCGGCTTCGTCGCGCCGAGCACATAAGGGTGGTCTCGGGGGTCAATCACGCTTGTCAAGAGGTAAGCACACGTGTCGAAGGACATGAGAGACAACCAAAACGGAAATTCGAAGTCACAGATGGTAATTGGAAAGGAAGGGGAAGGTAATATCTCACCTTGTGATGAACTCGGCATGGTCGCTATCACATCGACAGAGAAGCATGGTGTCTGCGCTATGCAATGTGATTAGAACGTATCCATTTTGCTGTTGCTTTGGCATACTCACCCCATAATGTCGAAGGTCATTCTGACGGTGGTCAGCCTGGACAAGTAGTCTGAAGTTGGCACAATGGTTCGCCCTTCGCCATTGGTAAACTTCTTGAGACCCATTGCCAGATCGTCGATATGGATCATCGCGACACCGGCCCCGACAAAGCTCCTTGTCAGCTTCATGCATCCAGTCAATGTGCCGAATCCCATATCGGCGTCTGCGACAATGGGCAGCATGTAGTCGATGCACTCGAGCGCCTCGCGGTCTGCTTCGCTGTACCTCATCCTCAACTGTGTCTGTCGCTGGTCGTGGAATAGTTGGGTGTTGAAGATGCGCTTGACGACAGATGGCACGAGATCGGCAGGATAGTCGGCATGGTCTTCACCCGGCCAGGTGGCTTGTGATAGCCCGCAAAGCGCGCCGGATACATACACAGTTTGCACTTTTCAATGTTAGTTGACTGGAAAAGCAAGCCATCACAGTTCTCGTGGTCATCCTTCATACTTGTCTTTGCCATCTCCTTCGCAATCAGGGGCTCAGTCGTTCCGAATGTAAGTTCGTATGTACCATTGTCATTGTGCTCATTCAGAATACGCCAAAGCTTCCTTCCCTGAACACTTGAGGCATACTCGATTTTGAAACCAACGTTCCTCAATGCAGCAATAGACTTGGCCGTGTATGGTCTGTTACAAGTTAGACGGAACAAATACGAACACCCCACTTCATCACCCAGTCACTGTGATCAACAATGCTAATGAGCCTGGTCTTGGCGAAACGGAATTGATGGAGGGGTGGTTAGATAAAAAGTAAGGTTCATATAGGGGTGTTTAATGGAAAGATGCAAACCTTTTGATGTGTTTTTGCCGATCGGTCTCCCACCACGCCTCAATCTCCTTGACCTCTGCCGCGAAGGCATCGCTCTCAGATTTAACGTCGGGCCACTTCAGAGACATCTTTCATATAGTTTGATGGAGTTCAAGATGCGATACAGAGTAGTCGATGATAAAGCCCAGTGAGAATCTGGGATGTTTACTACCTTACCTTATGTTGTTCTCGTGCGTGGGCAACGGTCCTTTTTGCCATCATCTCGCGATTACACTGATGAACAAGCCCTTCGGCCTACCTTACCCGACGTCGGACACCATTAAATCATCCCATTCCCTCATTATTCCCTATCGATGCTGGGCCTCAACCACGCCATCAATGTGCACCGTCTCAGTGATAGGCGATAGGCAAGGACAACCCATCGGTCGGGCGTCGGGATACTGTCGGAGTGGGCCCCTAGCGCCCGACAACTCTGCAAGGGTCCCCGGCAACCATCGGGGAACATCTCCCGATAAGAGACTCCCGGCAACGAGGGGGAGGGGCCGGGAAACTCAGTCAACAGCCGTGTAAGCCGTGTTGTCCGACCGTCATATCCAGCAGACAGTTGTAGAATTAGCTCAGTATCCTCCGACCTTTCCAAGCACTCACTAGTTTTGCGAAATACTCACATCAATCAACATGGGCAGCAACATCGCCAGCGACACCGTCAAGCCGACATGTCTCATCAATCTCCAGCTGGGATGGCCGTCACCCCGTCTCTTCGCAGCAAGCGGTCTTCTCGAGGGCGCCAACCAGGTCCTCACTTCAGACACCGAGATAGCCGCCGCGCTCGTCTACGGTCCTCACGTCGGACATCCTCCTCTCCGCAAAAGCGTGGCAGAATGGCTCTCCTCGGTCTACGGGACGCCAGCTGATTTCGAAAGAATAAGTATCAGCAACGGCGCCTCGGGGAACCTGGCCAACGTCCTGTTGAAATTCACCGATCCGCTCTACACGCGCAAGATCTTCATGGTTGAGCCGACATACTTCCTTGCATGCCCCATCTTTGAAGACAATGGGTTCCAGGGTAAGCTGAAAGGCGTCCCCGAGGACAACGAGGAGGGCCTAGATATTGCTTTTCTTCGCCGGGAGCTGGAAGTTGCAGAGGCACAAGCATTGGAAAAGGCAAAGGCTTCTGGAGAACTACATGCCCCGACGATCAAGACAGGCAAGACGTACCCGAAAATCTACAAATACGTCATCTACCTTGTCCCAACTTTCTCCAATCCCAGCGCAAAGACTCTTTCTATACAGATGCGAAAGGATCTTGTCAGCCTTGCTCGCGAATACGACGCGCTCGTCATTTCAGACGATGTCTACGACTTCCTGAGCTGGCCGGAAGATGCCGCTGCTCCTATTGACGCCGTAGCCACTGTGCCTCCTCGTCTTGTCGACATCGACCGAGGGATGCCTGGCTGCAACCAATTCGGAAATACCCTGAGCAATGGCTCCTTTTCCAAAGTCATTGGGCCTGGTGTTCGAGTCGGATGGGCGGAGAGCACGCCGGCTTTTGCCAAGGAGCTAGGAGAGGTGTAAGTCACGAGTGGAATTCCTCCTTTTCTTGTCCAGTCTTTGACTAATGGGCTTAAAACAGCGGCTCTTCAAGCTCAGGCGGCGCTCCTTCGCACCTCACCTCGACCTTTGTTGACAAAATGCTTCGAAGCGGACAGCTCCAGTCCCACATCAAAGACACGCTCATTCCCACGTACCGAGAGAGATATTATGCGCTCATGACCGCCATCGAAAAGATCCTGGTTCCTCTCGGGGTTCGTGTTGAAGTGAACAGGCCCAAAGACGCAGGTTCAGCGACGGCGGGGGGATTCTTCACGTACCTCAGGCTACCAGACGACCTTCCCGTCGCCAAGAACGTAGCCGCGATTGCGCTAAAGGATCAACAGTTGCGCGTTGCCTTTGGACACATGTTCACCGTCACTGGAGATGAGAGCAGCATCTCTCGGGCTGAAGCAGAAGATGGGTTTGCCCGATGCATCAGACTTTGCTGGGCGTGGCATGAGGTTGCGGAAATCAAAGAGGGAATCGAGAGACTGGGGGCTACTATTGTTGACGTTCGGGAAAGGATCGAGAAGGGAGAAGACTTGAGTAGCCCTGTAACTATTGGAATCCGGTAGTCGAATTGGACATCGCAGATTGAAATTTCATGTACTGATCGCAGCCAAAGTTCTATGTGGGTCTGCTCCTCTTGAAATGAACCCAGTATCCAACCTTAGTGGTAAGTAACATCCCGAAGGGAGTCTGTCTCCGTTGTGGATCACGTCGAGGCTGTCGCAGATTTTGGAAGCAAAGCGTCACACTATGAAGGAAGATAGAACTCCTGAGTGTAATGAACAATCTCTCATTAATACTCAAACTGCCATAATCTCAAGTAAATCCTTCTAAAATCCTCAATACTTGTTCTGTAATTATTCACTCAATCATCAACCGCAACCCGATTTCATCTTCCGACCTCAAATAATGGTAGCAGAGTTGCGAACAGGCTCCACAGCGCCTACCAACTTGTTCTCAATCTCCTTCTCTCGAGCATCCACAGGATCCGTGACCTGGGCCTCGGAAGCCGGTTGGTTCGCAACTGCCGCAGCCTCTTGCCGGAGCTGCCGTTTGTGCAGAAAGTCCGCGACAACTGCCGAACGCTCGTTAGCACGCCTTGTTGTTTTCGTGTAGGACGTGGGTTTGACTTACGGACGAGTACCACCGCAGCAAGCGCAAAGGACAGAATCGAAGGGAACCCTCGCTCGAACTTGGGAGCCATGGTCTGGGGGAAGATGAGAATCGGCAGGAAAGAGTCTGCGCAGGATACAGTTAGTTGCAAAAGTCTTTCCGAAGTCAATAGTGGGTAGCTCACTCGTTGCGTAGAACAATCCGTTCATGCTGGAAATCGTCAAGGCCCTCTCCTCGGCGTTGCCGTTGTTGACCTCGTTGGCCCAGGTCTATCTCCCAGTCAGCTTGGCATATCAACTCATAGATTCAAGGAGTTACTGACCCAGGTCACGGCGGTGACATAACCGCAGGCAACCAAGAAGAAGCCCGCAACGCGAGCGCCGTCGGAGGCGGGGTAGGCGGTGAGGATGGAGGAGCCGACGACGGTGGTGCCGAGCTATGAGGCCTTGTCAGTAGTTCCCTCTGGTGGAGACGAGAGGGATATTTACCAATGGGCCAACCATCCACATAGGTCGATTCCCTGTCAGATCGGACATGAAACCCCACGAAAAGTCAGTCACCATCGTGACGAGGTTGGCGCAGGCCGGGATGACGTTGCGCTGGGTGACGCTGTATCCGTTCTCGCCTATCATCCGTTAGCTTCAACTTGGTCCTCCCCAACTGGAAAACATACGCAGGTAGATGGCGAAATAGTTATTCGCCTGGCACGAGTTTCCATACTACCAGCAACAGTCAGCATTCTCCCGCTACACACTTCATCCACAACAGGGGGAGACTCACAAAGATGTACATCAGACACAGAACCCACCACCTCCAGTTCCCAAACATACGCTTGACGAGCTTCAGGTCCATGACGCCCGTGATCTCGACGCGGCCCAGCTTCGCGGAGCGCTGCATCGCGAGCTGCTTGTCCTCCTCGGTGATGTACCACGCCGTCGTGTTGTGCGGGTAATCCGGCAGCAGGAACCACACGGACAGCGCGATCGGCAGGCTCATGCACCCGCAGATGATGTACATCCAGCGCCAGCCCGCCATGCCGAGGTGTCCGTCGAGGCCCTTGTGGATGCCGGCCTGGAGGAAGCCCGAGGTTGCTTGGCCGAAGAAGCCGGTGACGTGCCAGACGGCGACGCGTCTTTGGGTCAAGTCAGCTTTCTGGACGGGCTTTGGGATAGGTATGTTGTGGGGCTTACTTTGCGAGTTCTGTCTTTGTGTACCACGATCCGAGGAGGAAGATTATAATGGGCGAGAAGGGGCTTTCAAAGAGGCCGACCATGAAGCGGAAGGCGTACATTTGGTTGCTTGTTTGGGCTGCAGCCTGCGCGAAGCTGTTAATTCCGAGTTAGCCATCTCTTCAAACAACAGTATGCTGAAGATGGAATCTTACGTGAATGCTGTCCAGCCTAGCTCGCAGACCACGAGGCAGATACGAGGACGGACTTTGAGTGCGATCATGTTTGCTGGGATTTGCATGATAGCGAAGGCGATGGTGTAACACACTTCAGAACACAACTCTGTTAGACGACTTCATCTCCGTCGGTTACTTTGAACACTTACTTAGCATGTATGTGTACTCGTTCCCCTTGATGTTCAAATCTTCCTTCATGCCGCTCACATCTATCGCTTCTTGTCAGCACACTAATAATCTCTCGTCAAGTCTCATCTTCGAAAGGAGCTACTCACATGCATTGGTGATGTTGCTCTGGTCAATGTATTTCATCCACTATCAAACTTGTCAGCAACTCGAAAGAGGCAACGGCGGAGGGGAGAACTCACCCATCCCAACGTCGCACAAATAAGAATCCCAAAATCCAACTTCCTCACCAGAGCCCTCTCCTGCGGACTCTTCAGATGCTGGTCAGCATCCCATAGATGATACAAAATCTTCTTTCCAAAAGAGACGTTGTGCGCCTCGTGCGCCCCGACGCCGACGTCAGAAGCAGCGGGAGACATGGCCGAGTTGACCTCGTGGCTCTTCTTGCCGTCCATGGTTGAGTCGCCTTGTGTGCCAACTGAATAACGAAAGTCTTTAATAAAGGCTTCCGCAAACCAATAAAGTAAAAGCCGGTGGGAGTTTCGACACCGAGGCACACCTTGGACAATGAACTTCCACTCCATAATGTAAGTTTTATTATCCTCCTAAAAGACTACGGGTTAATGATAACCAGCTACCACACCAAACTAATCCCCCTGGCCTACCATGCTGCATCTCCCATCCAACTGCATGTTATCAACAGTATCAGCAGATCAAAAGTGCAAGCCAAGACCTTAACACCCCCGGTGGATCCCCTCAATCTTTCGGAATCCTGGCCGAAGATAAGCTGCGTCAAACACACATTACGCCCCTCTCGTCGGGCGTCGTCCGACGCATTCCCCTTTCTTCTCCCCCCGATCGCTTTCCCCGCATTCTTATCATTCGACACCACCCCCCGGTCCCCGGATAAGCACCCCCGTCCGCCGGGGTGGCCGGCGTCCATCGGCCGACGTCGGGGTACGAATTAACGCGTCTGTCCTCTCTAAAACAGCCACAGCAATGAGGCCAGCCAACTCTCGAACATCTTCTAGATTGTATCTGCGCCTTTTCTCCTCCTATTCATCTCAAATCCCAGTCAGTCAGTGAGCGCTCAGAACACATACCCGTCTCAACCAAGACCGCCAAGACAATGTCCTCTACAGTGCGACCCGACCAGCTCGCCCTGGCCCGCGAGACGGTCCGCCCGAACCTCGTCAAGAGCCTCATGCGCCAGAACCGCCTCGCGCACTCCTTCGGCCTGCGCGTCGCCTTCTCCACCGAGATGCCCCTCGTCGCTAAGCGCGCGGGCTACTCGGCCGTGCTGATGAACCTCGAGCACATGGCCATGAGCATGGAGACGATGAAGGATATCGCTGTGGCGTGTCTGAACGTGGGGTGAGGACAGCACCATTCCCTCAAACATGATCATAGATGGGTACAGCCGAAAAACTGTTCAAATTACTGACGGTTGCTCTTCTTTCCTGCAGAATCACGCCTACAGTAGTCGTCCCAACATGCTCCCAGGAATGGATCTCCCGCTGCCTCGACTCCGGCGCGCAGGCCGTCATCGTCCCGCACGTCAACACCGTGGAACAGGCAAAGATGTGCGTCGACGCGTCAAAGTTCCCTCCCCTCGTGAGTTGCTTTCCATCCTCTGCAATACTCTCCAGCACTTCGACAGCTTACACGGAACACCGTGATTAGGGCCACCGTTCAGTCACAATGGTCACCGCAATGACCCAATACACCACGCAACTATCCTACGCGGCCATCGCCGAAGTCGTCAACGACGAGGTGCTGATAATGCCCATGATTGAGACGAAAGAGGGCGTGGAGAACGTGGAGTATGTCTACATCCCTTTTCCGAAAAGTAAAGTAGCACGAGCTCGTTCTGATACTGTCTCCCAGGGCCATCGCCGCGGTACCCGGCATTGACGCGCTCTTCATCGGGTGCGCAGACCTCTGCATGGAGTATGTCCTCCCCCCATCGTTTACAGAAGATTCGACTAACGGTAACTAGGCTAGGCATCCCCGGACAGTACGACTCGGAGCTATTCCACTCGACCGTAGCCAAGATCGCAGGCGCAGCCGAGAAGGCGAGCGTAGACGGACGCAAGGTGTTCGTCGGACTTGGAGGATTGGAGCCGAGGCCAGATCTGCTTGAAGAGTTTGCGAAGCGACATGCGCCTATTCGGTAAGCAGAAACTTTCACATAAATCTTTTTGATTGATGCTGACGACGACGATCGACAGATTCGCCATGGCGGGCCGCGACTTGGCTCTGCTTCTGGCTGGCATGTCAAAACAAGCGGCGTCGATGAACGAGATTTCAACAAGACTTCAGTAAAGCTTTTAGCCCAAAATAATGAAGAAAAAAGACGTAACAATTTGTACCACACTAAGCACTAATACTCCGTCCCAACGCCGTGCCAAGCATTGTCGCCACAAGCAACACGTTAACTCCGTGCAATATCCCTCGCTCGCAATGCTAAAGTCTTACACGCAAGATTTGAGAAAGAAGAAAAATTCGGTTCGTCATGCGGTTGATTGGATTGGTGGTGTAGGTCGGCCTAGGCTTTAGTCGCCCTCCCAAACGTTTGTCACGTTTCTCAGCGACGAGGGCTCGATGCGGCCCGCGGCGGTGCGGGTTCGGCCACGGGGTTCGCCAGTGGTGCCGTACTGGGGGCTAAGATCGCGGTATGTCACGGGCACGTCGGACTCGTCGCCACTGTCATTCGGAGCCTCGGCGGCGGCGGCGGCAGCGGCTGATGTGAGGAGGGGTCGGGTGCGCTCACGCTCCTCGATGGGGCGGTCCGAGAGGTGTCGCCAGCCCTGTGCCCACCACGCGTGCCTCCAGTTGCTGGCGCTTTGTGTGTAAAGCATGGTGAGAATCTGATGACAGATAGTCAGCCGTCAATATCCAAATACACATGATGAGGCAAAC